GGGCCCTGCAAGGGGGCGGGTGTCCTTTTCATGGACAGCCCAGGCCTCCTCTTCAAATGTTTAAAAGCAGCACATCTCCAGCTCTCATACTGCCCAGGAAATAAGAGAAAGCAGGCAGGCAACGTTCAGTTCAATACTTAGCGGGCAACAAAGCTTGCCTTCCATTACACTGGTGAACGAATACAAGTGCAAGCGTAAGTACTTAGGCACTTAGACAAAGAAATTATAAATTTCCCCAGTCCCCCACTTGTCTCTCCCCAAAGCATGCTGGGAAATTGCCAGGAGGCAAGCCAAACTAGCACTTGCCTTCTGGACTACCCTTTCCTGGCTAAATAAGGCCTTTCCCCCCGTTAGCACCAACTTTCTGAGGGAGCACATTTAGGAGAGCTGTTTTCAAGCCAACCTTCCCCAAGTCGCTGCCCTGCGGATGCATTAGCCACATCACCTAGAGATGGGAGCTGTAGCCCAAGCAGTTTGGAGGGCTACGTCTGCAGAATAAGGGGAAATTGCTTTATGTACGGAAGCCATTTCCACAGGAAGGGATGGCAGCTGTCAATTCAAGATGGGTTTGTGAAGAATGACCAGGCACAAGCGAGCCACGGAAAACCACATGGAGCCTCCATGATCAAGAGCAGAGTACCACAGGCTTGTGGTTCTTGCAGCATGCCATGCTGTACATTCCTGGTCATCTGGAAGGTTACCGTTAGAGACAGAGGTTTTCAGGCTTCCCCTCAGTCCCATAAACAAAGCTCACAGATCCTGCCCAGATAATGCCCCTCAGCTTTTTGCTGATTTCGTTCCACAGTCAATTCTAACAGAAGAGGTGAGACGACGCAGCTGCAGGCCATTATGGAGGCGCTGTAAATAAAACTATGACAAACATCGAGAACAGTAGTTGGAAAATAAGGCCAAATTCCTCAGAACAGCTGAGGAAGCAGCTTAAAAAAGAGGTGGGTGAGAACAGTGGTGAGAGGATTTGCATGGAAAGGGCCCGTACTGGAGATCAGCCTGCAAAAGCAATGCACAGCCCATAGCCAACATTCTGATTGCTTTTCGCAGGTGTGCAGAAACTTTGCCAATCAGGGAGATTCTGCTTCAGCAGAGGGGGCAGGTGGGGATAGCCAAGGCAGGCTCTGGAAATCTCTTCCACATCTCTGGAATGCCGCCCCACATATCTCAGTGGCATCCGATCCCCTCAACAAGCTGGCCCACTTCCATTTCCCCTGCCACTCCCCTGCTTTGGGCTTTCAGCCTCAGTTTCCTGAAATCAAATACCCCTTCCCCCTTCTCCACTTGTTCCTTTTTATAAATGGAGTGTCCCCCAAAATAGAGAGGTCCTTGAGAACACAAAAACATTTTTGGTATTTTCCTTGGGGGCCTGAGCCCCAGGTCTTTTCAGTACTCAGTCCTGCACCTGAATTTCAAAGAAGATTTTGGGGTCCACTTTCCAGGGGTGATGCCGAAGACAGAAGGAACAGGCAAAATAGCAAACCATGCCAACATACTTTGGCCCAGCTGGTAAGGAAACAGGAGAGGCATTTCAATAAAACAGCATGAAACCCAGAAAGCACCCCCCCAAAAAAAGGCTGATGGGAAAATGGGGGGCTACGGAAAGGGGAAGCTGTCCTTTCCAACCAGGACCAAAGTTAGACCCCTGCTCTGCACCGCCGATGTATAGCTTACAGCCCTCGTGCACAGCTAGTTATCCAGAACAAGGGAGAAGTCAAAATAATAAATTAGACCCCCGTGCTTTCTGCAGAACAAGACCCATAGAGTTACTGTATGGAACTGTCCAACATGGTAATACTTTACATTTTTTAAGAACTATACAGTGCAGGAAGGAAAAACAGAAAAGAGAAACCCAAAACGATCAAGGGATCGTTGCTATGCAGCATAGTAATGCGTCAAGCTCTCCAGCTTATGAAAAAGGGAGTCCAGGTAGGACCTGATAAAGGTGCATAGAATTATTTATGGCAGACAGGGAGATATTTTCCCCCTCTGTCCTGATGCAAGACTGGGGAGTCATACCATGAAGATGGGGTATTTGGGACAGTACTCGATGTAGTAATGGTCACCAACTCAGATGGCTTCGAGGGCAGGAGACAATTTGATCTGAACACCAAGTTTTGTCATGTTGGCTGTGATTCACCCCCCCCCCCCAAATATCAGGAGCGGTGTGGCTCCAAAACCAGTGGTTGGAAACACAAGCAGGAGAATGCTACTGCCCCCGTTCTGGTTGTGGGCATCCCATAGAATAGTAGGGTTGGCAGGGGCCAGAGGGTCACTGGGTCCCAGATAAACCCTCCCTCTCAGATGGCTCTCCAAGATGGGCTTTTGCTCTGATGGCGCTTCATCTTTCCACATTTCAGCTTTGCTCCAGCTGCTCTTTCGCACTGCCTTCATAGGCTCTTTCTAGGCTGAGCATTTTTTAAATTTTATTCTCTTTCAATGCTTTGCAGGTTTGAGAGGTACGGTCACACGTTCAAATAAATGGAATAAAAACAGAACAGATACAATTCTTAGGAACTCTGACCTGAGCTGTGCCAAATTTTGCTTTCTAACAACTGCTATTCCCCTTTTTCCTTTTAAAAGCACTTTTCTAGCTCCAGCAATGGAAATTCACTTCTATGTTGAAGTTCATTTATCCTCAAAGAGCAACCTCTATGCCAGAGGACTGCCAGTGTAACACCAATGTTTAAAAACCATCTGGAAGAGATCCAGGAAGTTACAAGCCAGCAAGTTCAGAGTAAATGGCTGGAAAGCTTGATTAAAGATAAAATTAGTGTACAGAGGGGTAAGAGCCCAGCTGAAAAATAACAGAAAGCGAAGGGTGGGAATAAAAATTGTGAAACCTCCCAGTGGACAGATGCATCCAGTGAGGGATTCCCCAGGGATCTACAGAAGAAGTAGTGCTTTTCAACTTGTTCATGAAGGATCTGAAGTTAGGAGTGAGCAGAGAGAGGGCCAAGGTGGCTGAACAAAAAGAGAATGCAGAGAAATCCAGAAGGAGCTCTCCAAACTGGGGGAATGGGCTGCAACGCAGATATGTCAGGGCAAAACAAACCCTTGTAAAGTCCAAGAAAGGGATCTTGGGGTGGTAGCTCAATCGCAGTATGGACCCACTGGACAGCTGCTGTGAAAAAGGTACATTTTATGTTAGGCATAATTAGGAAAGGCACCCAAAATAAACTTCAAGTATCCTACACCCCTCATACAATCTATGGTATGGCCACGTCTGGAATATTGTGTGCAGTTCTGGGCACACCTAAAAAGAAGGACCTCATAGAGTTGGAAAAAGTGCAAAAAGGCAACCGAAATGCAAGCTGATGAGGATGCAAGGAGATGGGGGTTGGTAGTGCGACGCAGGATGGAGGCAAAACTTCCATCAAAGACACGGATCCTCAGTTCAAGGTGGCCTGGGCCCATCTTTTGGGGCTCGCAGATCCTTGGACACGTGGGGGTTTCTCTACTTGAGGTATGTGCTCATTGATGCTTCCCTCTAACGTCAAAGAAAAGCTAACTCAAGCGACCTTTGATGTGTGTTTGTCTCCAACATCCCCCTATCTTCACAACTCCCCTCAGTGACTGCCATAAGATACTTGCTTTCATAAGAAACCTTTGACAGAATCATGACAAATAAGCACATTGATAATCACACGCTAATGGCTGAGCCCAGAATTCCCAGGCACGAACAAGAGGCGAGGCAGGGGGAAACCAACATGGACCTTGACCAAATCAGCAGCAGCAGCATCTCAAGTCCAGAAGCAGCCGGCCCAACTTACCTTGCATCTTTGCATGGTGCAGCCTCTTTCCCCGCTCCACACCACTGGCATTCCCCAACAGAAAGGGGGAAAGGCCTGGCCCAGGGTGCCAGGAGTGGGGGTCGGTCGTGCTACGTATGACGGAGGCAAACAGGCAGAACTTGACCCCAAGGGCCAATTTCAGCGGCAGCCCTGAGCTCCCGTCATCCCACCCAACTTTCCGACCCAGACAAAGCTTGAAGCCTAGACACAAGATCTGGGGAAGGATGGATATGCTTACTGTTGCACCTTTCTTAGGAACCTCCCACACCTAAAGGCTGAAATCTTCCACGGCACTTCCCTGTTTCAAGGGAGCATCGGCAGTCATGCCCAAAGGACACTGCGTTACTCCAGGCAGCAGGGTCACGGGGATGCAAGGCTGCACGGGAGGCATTCAGCTCACACTGTGGGTGGAGCCTTCCGACTCACCTCGTGACAACCCCCTGCGCCACTCCTGCGGCCTGGGGAGCCCTCTGGAGCCGTGTGGGATGGCTGGGGCGGCCACAGCCTGCAGGTGTTGGGCTCGCACCCCCATGGGCCTCACCTAGTGACATGCAGGGGAGGTTTTCGCCCAGCATCCCAAGGGAGACTGGCTCCCCGTACCTGCTGCGGGGCCCTTCCCCTGGCACGAGAGCATCTTTGGATTCAGGCATACGACTCATTTCTCACAGCCAGTCCAGCTAAGGGCTAAGTTATGCCACTGAACTTAAGACTCTCTTCTCCATCCCATAATAGCAGCTAGAATCTCTAGGACAGGAGTGTTGAGCTGCAGGCCTGGATTCAGCAGTCCAAGCTTCCCCAAATAGTCCTGCCTCCTCCCACGACTCCACTGCCTTTCTCCAATCTCCACCGGTTTGGCGGCTTCCATGTAGCTTTTGCCCATTTGAAAGATCGAAATCTCTCTCTTAAGGCTCAGCAATACATAGTAAAGTGTTCCAGAACTATGCCACCTTGATGCTTTCGATCCTCCAAATGCTGGAAAATGCTCCTCTGAATTTGAGTGCGGCCCCTCAGGCACAGAGGTCCAACACACCTGCTTTAGGAAATAAATCAAAGACACAGTACCTGGCTCCATAGATCCTGTTTGCTAATAAATGGGGCCGGCCCCTCCAACAGAAGAAATATTGCAAAAAAGGGAAAGAAATGGATAAGGAAACATAACAAATGGTGAAAGTAAAGTAAGATGTCAAAAAACAAATATAAACCCAAAGAAATTTATTGCGGTTGGCAAAAATACATAATACAAAAAACAAAAATGAAGCCGCCCCCAAATTAAACTGGGCCCATCTGTTGAGTGTACAAGCAGCAGCCAGAAGGCCTCCCAAAGCCTCTAATTCATCAGAACCTCCATCTGCACCAGCCGAGCATTCGTGTCTCCCGACGTCCGGTAGGGGATCATCCCAGCAAAGGTGATGAGCGCCCGGGCCTGAGATCGAAGTTGCTAAGAAGCAGAAAAGAGCAGAACACCAAGCAAAAATAAAAATGTTACTACGGATGGAGAGGAATGCTGGGCAAGGTGCACTTTTAAACCCGGGCCAGTGTGAAAATGCATTTGCTTGGACGTTGCTCTAATTCTGCATTTAAAATAGGGCGGCCAGGAGGACTCCTCAGGTGTGCAGTGCTGCCTGAAGAGCAATAGCAAAGAAGCTCATCGGGAGAATTTATAGCCGGAAAAAGTTGGCATGCAGTAACTCTCAGGCCGCCGTCACACTGGTATGCCTCGCCAAGCCAGACAAGCACCCTGCGGCAATCTGTCTGAATGGATGCTAGATTTTTGGAATTCTAAACGTGCTCTCGATAGAGCACAGCATTGGCTATCTTCCCTCTTCTGCCTGTTTAGAAGTTCTGAATAACTCCAGGATTCCTTGGAACTCTCTCTGCCGATAGCAGTTGGTCTGTGAAGATTTCTCCTCCTCCAGAGAAATAGTTCATATACGTCCACCTCTATTTCCGGCAGGAAAAAATGCGTGTGCAACTCAAGGTATGAAAAGCCTGGAGAAACCATTCTGCATTTACGCATGTATTCACAGTTGCGCCACAAAAGGCCCTGAAAACTTACTGGGCACCATTTGGAATGTTAAGTTTCCGTCGGGGCACCCTTGAAAATCAGCTTCCATGCGAGAGGGTTGCTCATTCACAAAGGGGCCAGGCACAAAGCGCCCACTTTCCAGACAGTAAAAGAAAGAAAAGTAACTCCAAGAACCTCAGAGAAGCAGGTTTGCTCCAAAACGCAAGGCTACTCTGCTGGAAGCTGGAACTTTGCAACTTGGCAGACTCCCAGTTGGTTTTTTTAAAATTATTATTACGTATTTTAAAATTAAGAAATTAAATAAATGCCAAGAGATGCAGGCATGGCTTTGACGGGTACAAAGTAGGTATAATTTCACATTATGCTCCGTTCTGCATTACAAGCATGCTAGGAGCAAGATTTTTTCCTCATTGCAGCTGTCGGCATGTAACAGAGACAAATCATAGGTTAATTTAGCCGGCTTTGCCACAGATGTCCTGACCGATTCCATGGCCTTTAATTTCCAGTCAGGTTGATCAGCATCATCTGGATCTGGACCAATACATTAAGTGTGAGTAATACAGCCCAGCGTTAATCTAATGATTAACCTACACATGTGAACTTTGGGATGCACCTTGCACCCCCTGTGACAAACTGTGGGTTAATTAACCCAAGATCTGCCACTGTTACATGTGAACCAGGTCACCGTGTTTTTCTTTCTTCTACTGTGTTTATCTGGGGAACTCTTTCAAAAAACTCAACTTGAAAATATTAATATGCAGCAGTAGCTTTTATGAGACGCAATCACAAATGGCCTGAAGCAGTACCAGCTGCCTGGAGACATCCTTCTGGTTTCTGCTTGAAAATACCACTGCATTAAACAAATGCCGCAAAAAGCTTGGCCGGGGTAGCACCTTTTCCTCTCCCCTGTATTTGAAAACAAATTAAACTGAATCACGGTTGCACTCTCCAAAAAGGTTAAAGGAAGCCTGGAGGTGCAGCTGTTCCATTCCCTATAATTATTTAATCAAAACCCAAAAGCAGGAACAGCACCCAAACACAGGGCTGACCATTTCAGTGACAATTACTTTCTCTGCTCTTTCTCAGGCGGCACAAGAATGCCCTGAGGATCCAATAAAATTCGCTAAACATATCAGTGAGGCTTCATGACTCACAAACAACACTCAAAACTGCTGGACTGGGCATTCTTTCTAGAACTGGCATTTTCTGGCATCTTCTCATCTCTGTCCAATCTAAGGCCTGGTGGCTAGGAATAGATCCACAAGCAGATGGGTTCCAAATCTGGGCGTGACGCAGGATTTAGGACCATGCTGCAGAAAAGAATACCCCAAACTGACCATCTTGCCTGCCTGTACTAGTGGACTCTTGAAGTAAGGAGACAAAAACGTACCGAATCCCGGTCTTCTATGACACGAGGGGGTCGGGCAGGGGCTGCTGGGCTGGTGCCCTTCAACCTCTTGTACTGGGTGAACAAAATATTCATTGTGGCAAGGAGGACCTCAGAGAGATTGTGTCGGATCTGAAAAGGGATGGAAAGAACGTTCGGGTGAAGCAAAGGCCTGGTGGAGGAACTGGCCTGCAGGCTGGTGAGGCAGGTGGAACTGACTCGTTGAAGACCAGAACTGCACGCCGTGGTTGCTTTTCTGGGAATCTTATCTGCCGGTGCTTCCACTGCGTGATCCTGGAGAAGCACCTGAAGAGCAATGGGGTCCCCAGAGCACAGTATGTAAAACAGCAGGGTAAGTGATACCAGGAGATGAGAACTCAGAGGATCACAGCACAAAGGAATGGCAGAAATCAAATGCTGCTGCTACGGTGCATTGTTTATTCTGCCACCAGAAAAACCGAGAGGGGCCATTGCTTTGCAGTGGGGCGCAAGGGTTGCATGCAGGAATTCCAGGGTTTGATCCCCGGCTGGCCTCTCCAGGTGGGGCTAGAAAAACTCCTCCCTGAACCCAAGAAGAACTGCTGCGGTCAGAGCAGATGACACGGGACTAGGTGGAGTCGGCAGGAAGCAGCTTGTGTGTTGCACGTGGCCCTTCCCCATGTGCAGGGGCTGGAAGGCCGGGAAGTGTGGTAACCCTGGGAGGCAGCAGGGGAGGGGAAGCCATGGGACCAAGATGGGAGGCAGCAGGTGCCCCTGAGGCTTAGGGGAAGTAGAATGCAGGGGGGCATGTGAGCCCTGGGCCGAGTCCAGTAAGGCAGGGCCAATGAGGACAAGGTCAAGGAGGGCCAGACTGGGGCTGTTCAGAATCCGGGCAGGGCACTGCCGGAGGCGCTGGCGGTGCCTTTTCCCGCAAAGAGCACTGTCGGTCCAGCAAAGGGCTGCGGTCAGCCGCAGACTTGCAGAGGCGGGCTGGCTCCATTCCTGGTGGATGTGGATAAAGGCAGCCTGTAGCGGGGACTTTCTGAGAGTCCTGCTCCTTTGTGGCCGAAGGACAGGAGAAGGTGCAGGGGAGCCACCCGCATCGGAGTTCGACAGCAAGGCTGGGATGGGGAAGCAGCCTGTGAATAATCTGAATGCAAGTCCTCTTTGAGGTAATGTTGCAATTACCACCAGGGTGCAGAACAACGAGAAAAGGGTGGGAAGGGAGGTAGCCAATTCTGTAGGGAAACTTTCATCCACATATCCTGGCCTCTGAACCCACTGCAAAACTGGCCCATACATTTTTAAAATTCTTTTTAAGAAAAGGGATGGAATCCTGGTCGGCTATGCAAGGCCAAACAGGGATGTGTGAGGATGTTGTTTGTGTTTGCAAACAAGGCAAATGCGCCAAATTTGCACCCCCGAATGTGAACAAGAAAGCACGTGCCTCGAAAATGCCCGTGAACCCCTGAACACGTGTGTTTGAAAATACATTTTTTAAGCATTTAAAATGCAGAGGAAAAGTGTACACTTAAGGCGCAAATGTTTCCTGTTCAAGATGCACATTTTTCCTGCTTGACTGGAATGAAAAAAGAGGGTGAACATGTGAAGGAACGAGATGAGGAGAACTTCAAACTGGTGCTAGGAGATTCTAGGTCATTCAGGAAAGTATCCAGTCATCCCTAATGCCAATTTCAGTGTCCCTTGCTCTGCCACCCTTCACCATGTGCGGAAACTGGAGGATGCCTCCTTCTGCACCAAGGCACGAAGAACAGCTGTGACAAGAATGAGGCCTATCTGACGTGCTTGTATCGACATCCTGCCTCTTTCCTCTTGCAAGAAATGAAAGGCGGCTTATGATCCTCTTCCTTTGCATTTTATCTGCACAACAACCCTGTGAGGTAAGACAGCCAGGCAGGCAGTGATCAAGGTCACTCGGTGCGCTTCATGGCTGAATGGGGACTAAAGCCTGGCTTTCTGGAGACCCAGTCCAGCTGTCTCACTCCATGCTACTAATTTGGTCCTTCGCCGCTCACCCCTTTGTCTGCCTGAGACGCTACCTTGTGAACCCACTTCCGATTCCAATCTGCAGAGATTCAGAAGTGGTTTAAGGCCCCACACTTCGATTTTAACATGATCAAACTATCCTCCAGGTTTAATAGGCTACCTGACAAGATGCCCTCCAAATTGTGGGCCCGTGTGTTGCAATCTGGCCATAAAAATGGGCCACAACTGGCCGAGCGAGTGGGCACTGGAGGTTCTCCTTCCTTGACTTTGTCCATCTCCGCTCAGACCGTGGGCGGAAGAGAATCTGCCAGCGGAAGGATGAAGTGCGCTGGCACCGTCGGCTGCTGGGCAAGTGGCTTCCCTTTTCGCCTGGCTAGTCAGCAATTTGAAAAATGCTGTTTTGTGGCCAGCCACACCCGCCGTTTTGGGAACAGCCGTGCCCCGTGGTGAATGCCCACCTCTCCCTCAAACTGCCGAATGTACCCACTGACACACGTAAGTGGGGCCTGCAGCATTATCCACATTCAGTCATCTGTCCCCTCTAAAACGAGGGGACTAGAATTTGGAAAAGATGCCTGCAGCAGCTCTGGGGCTGTCCTTGCTCTTTTATTGCTGAACAGCAGTAAAAGAGGTTTCAGACAGAAGCCATGGATTAAGTGAGGCTCTGGTAAAATGGGATCTTTTCAGCTAAGGAAAAAGCATCTGGGAAGAAAAAGAAAACCACACAGGGCAAAATGGAGAACTTCTGCAGTCACTTGTACTCAGGGAATGAGAGGAAGAGAATTCACTGGGTGGGTGGCCGGCCGGCCGGGGTGAGGGCTCTGAGCCGGGATCAGGAGAAGTCAAGTGCCACCGTGTCACATCGCCAGGACTGGATGTGCGACCAATCCGTCCAGAGACAAGTGATCACTGATAAGCGCCTTGTGGCTGAAAGCCTGCAAAATGGATGACCGAGGGAAATCAATACCTTCTGAGGCTTGAAGCAAGCAAGCAAGCAAGCAAGCTGGGGTGGGGGTGGGGGGGAGCTTTTCATCCATACACAGGCCTTTTATCTTCGGATTCACTTTGCAGCCCAAAACAATTATCTTATTGACAAACCTGTTTTAAGATGAGTCAGAAAGATTGCGGGTAACTTTGTATTCCACTTCCGTAAATAAGAGGAAGGGATTTGGCCCCCGTCCCAGGCACATCGCGGTCAACAGAAAAGCAATTGGGAGACCGTGCAGTTTCCTTGGGCAGCAACAAAGGTTGTCCTTGTGATTTTTTTTAAATTCCGTTAAAAAAATAGACTCGGAAACAGACAGAATGAAAACAGACTGACCACATCCAAACAGTGCCATACAGAGCGGTCAGATCTCACCATTCAGACATGGCAACAGTCTGGAGTTCGTGGTGCGCTTGTAGATTTTTAACCTGCGTTGGAGCGGTCAGGGGTTCAAGAGAGTACAAATGCGCCACACAAGCAAAACTGCCCTTTTCTCTCCTGTGCCAGCATGCAGAACTGGAGGGATGGACTGGGACAATCCCAGCTTCTGGGAGACTATGTGCGCTTTGGGCTCCACCATATTAGGGCCGTGTGGAGCTCCAGATCTTGGCTATTGGTAGGAGCAGCAATCCTTCTCTGGGTTACAGAAGAAAAAGGTGTTGTGGATTCCCCAGTGGAGGCTTTTGTGCCTCCAAGAAAAGAGTTACTCTTCAGGTAGATCTGAGCTGAGAAGCACGATCACATTTGGGGGAAGGCAGAAGTTCCCCAGCTCATGAAAAATGACTCCGGCCTGGCAGAGTCATGCACACCTGAGACACTCCCATTGGTGAGGTGCAAGCGAGCCAAGGAGCCTATACCCCTGGTGTTAGTTACGTGCTGTTGCAAGAGCACTGTGGGAGAGCAGGGCAAGCGGACATATCCTGAGGATGGGGAACGGAGGCGCTGGAAGCTGCCGCTCCGGTCCTCAGCAACAGAGAATGCTGCTCGATGCACCTGCCTGGAAGAGGAAGGGGAAAGGCAAAGCCGCTGCAGCTTCCTTACTTCATCACTGAAATTCCTGAAGGCTGCGACTCGTTCCTCCACATATTCTTGACTCAAGGGCACCAATTTTAGCTGTTCGATAATCTGTGAGGAAAGGCACACGAGTAAGAGGAATGTGTACTTTTTTAAAAATAACAATAGCAATATCTAGAGACTGGTTTCAGGGAATACAAGAACCCACACTCAAGAACTGTGGGTTAACACTCAGACCCAAGAACTGAGTGTGGGTCGCATGCAGGCTGTCTGCAAACTGCAGACTGTGGAAATGCGGATCTGAACCTGGCTAAGACAACAAGCCATGGTGAACAACCCACCGTTCACAACCCGACAACCAACCACAGGTTCTTGTGGTTATTCCTGCTTAATGAGCCATGGTTTGTTCGCCCAGCTGGGTTCAGACAGGACAGGAACCCATAGTTTAACAACAGCCCACAGTGAACCCACACTCAGCCTCTGTGGGTCTGTTATCACACTGGCTGCAGGCTTGTGTGTCAAACCCGCTTCTACATTCCGCCTGCCTTAACACGCTGCGTGGCTGCGCTCCCAGGATCCCTCACCGTCGGCCATGTTGGCTGGGAAAGAAGGCAGTCACAGTTCAGCAGTGCCTGGACAACCTTCCCTCCCTGGTTTAGGGCACTGGAACTATTGCTCTGACCATCTGGAAAGCAACACTTGTTCCCATTCTTCCTTGTAACTGCATCAGTGCTTGCACTGCGATGTCTTTACTCCGGAGGGAAGGGTTTTTCCATACAACACATGATTAGCTAAGCATAAAATGAAATACAGGTGCTAGCTTAGACATGATTCTGATAAAGCGCACATGAGCAGATAATGCTGGGCCTAGAAACTACCAACCATAGTAAGGAGGGGACCGGTGGAGGGGGGGAATCACATCCTTGAACGCTTGCATGTGAAAAACGACAAATCCCTGCATATAGAAAGCTAACATACTGTGCAGATGAGAAAAGCGGGGTGAGCTTAGTGAACATCCACTTTTCTGTGTGCAAGGAGTTGTGCCTTGCTGGTCTTTTAATAGGGAGAAACTTTTAAACATGTGTCCCTGTGACCCCATCTGCCCTATGGAGTGGTACAAGTCCAGGAATCATTTCCCCAATAGCAGTGTGTGAACTAGATGGCTTTAAAAAAATGCCCCTTTATTTCAACCCTGCCCAATTTCAGTGGCTGCCTGAGCCCAGCCTTAGGATAAGAGGAATCCACAGGGAATGACTCTCTCCAATGCACCAGGTTTTTCAGTACAGATAGAAAGATGCCCCCCCCCCCCCGGAAAAAAAAAACGCACAGAACTGCTTCTGATATCTCCACAAGCCTTCTCAACTCTAAAAGTGAGCATGCATGAGCCCTCGACTGCCGCTAGCTGGAGGCATCGTACCAGACTAAATCAATCTCAGACCCTCTTCGGTTCTTATATTCTCAAAGGATAATGTGAAACTTACATCAAAGGCCCTGTCAATGTGACCAGCGTGATATTCATCAAAAAAGGTGATCAGGTCTAACAGAAGGTAGAACGTTGAGTCCACAGGCTTTGCTGTACTTATGCCCTGTGCTTTGTACCTGAAAAAAGGAAAGCTCGGCATGTTTATCTGCAAAAAGGTTAGGCCACTGCTATGCAAGCAGCTCAGTATTTAGAGGAAGGAAAGAACCCCAGAATGCATATACAGTGCCTAACAGTTTACACAGTCAGTCGGTCATTTATCACAACTGACCTCAAGCTTTGCAGAGGTGTGTGTGTGTGTGTGTGTCCTGTAAGAGAGCTCTCCCCTGACCTGCCCTCCTTCAGATGGTGCAGACTACAACTCTCATTGTTCCAGGTGGCGGGGTGAAGATGAGAGCTGTAGTCTGACCCATCTAGGGCAGGCCAGGATGGGGAATGCTTAGTCTCTTCTTACCCCCTCCTTCTCCCTGAATGGTACATGGGCAAGGAAGGCTCAGAGCCTGAAAGCACAGAGCCTTGCCAGGGGCTACCTGGCCGGTTCACGGCGGATACGATTCATTGCGGCAAACGGATGCCTTGAAATGAGCTTTGCACCGATTGTGGGACTCGAACTCTCACTGTGTCTGTCTGGGATCTTTAGCTGCAAAGACCATGTTGGCTTGCACACTCTTTGTGTTCTCCTCCTCCCGAGACTGCTAGGGGGTCGTCCGCTTGGGAGCTGCAGCCCTGCCCACAAACACTGTGAGCAAACCTTGGACAGTGCGGCTTTTTGGAGCCTCTTGCTCCACCTGCAAATTGCCTAATGGATCCCAGCAAGGAAGAAAGATATGAAAACGCACACCCCCAGAGTGTCTCAGGCAGAGGCGTTGCACTCCATCTGCATTTTTTAAAACTGAAACTGGCATTGGACTGATCTTGCAACCTATGTGCTCTGTCACTGAGATACAGAGGGTTGGAAGGCTCTGGACTACCCCCAGGCCGAGCTGGAAGACACGGAGGAGCAGCTCCGGGTGTGGGAGAGAGAACAGGCTGAGAAGCCAGAGGGAGAAGAATGCACTCCCTGGGGAACCTGGTCCAACGGGTGCAGAACGTGCGGTTTTCATGGTTGGGCAGGGAGCATCTCCTCGGCGAGTCGGCTGCGGGCCTTTGGACTCAGGGGGCTTGGATGAATTCACTGATCACGGCACACAGAGGGAGTGCCCTAGTTAAATGTAAGCTATGTAGATTATCTCTCCCTCCACACTCCTGCAGGGTCCTTCCTCACTTATGCCAGTGTTAATAGCTCTTTACCCAGGGCGAGCTCACAGACTTGAGGCAGCCAGAAATGCACAGCCGTAGAGAAAAGCAGCCCAGGGCCATTTCCAGACTGCCGTCTGTTCACTGAACGCATCATTACAGAACTTTCTTGATCAAGGCCAAATGAGGTCAAGGAGGCCCGTCCCTCTGGCTGGCCGGCACATGCCGGGATGCTCAGTCCCGCTTTCCCAAGGCCGATTGCTCACCTCTCGGCAACAGAATGGGCCATGTTTTTCAGCCTCTCCTTGTTTGACTGTGGGTCGCTGATCAGAGAGACCACCGGGCTCAGCAACTTGTTCATCAGCTCCAGCACTTTGTCTGGGTTCTGAGTAATGCACAACCAAGAAAAGGAAGCATTGCAGACTGGCTAGAAAAAATTCTTGGGAAGAAAAAGGCAGGCAGATGGATATAGTAAACCCTATAATACGGAAAGGAGCAGGGGATCATTTATAAACATGCAACCCAAAGAAGGGTGCTCAAGAGCTCAAAAGACTGTTGTTTTGGTTGGTCCCCATAAATATATTACCCTGCTCTGGGTTTTGGATATTATGCCACTCCCATCTGGCTGCCTACCATTTTTAGGGCCTACATCAGAATCGTGTTTAGAAACATAGAACCCGAGTGAGTCAGAAGGGGTCTCCCGGGCCATCTAGTCTGACCCCCAGCTCCGCTTACGACATGCCCACCATGTGCACGTCTGGCCTGTCCTTGGCCCTCACCGATGGGGCCTCAACCACCTCCCGGGAAAGCCCCTTCCATACCCTAGAGGTCCTAACTGTCAGGAAGTGCTTCCTGGCATCTAAATGGAACCTGGGTTCCCTGAGCTCTGTTCCACTGGAGCATGTCCTACCCTCCTCAGTGTGTGTGTTTTAAAATGATCATTACATGAAGATATACAAGCATATAAATAGCTGTTGAGCAGCATCTCATGGTCACAGCAAGGATATCTACCTTTTCACCATGCTAAACAAAAAGAGGACTACCAATTAAGTATATTAATCTGAATAAAATAGGAAACTATACTCAACTGTAAAATACTGAATACCCACGCTCACTCTACATAGCTGATCTTTAAAGTAATTCCAATGCTAGCAAATAATTCTTTAGGTTAATGGCTTTTCAATAAATTTCTTCTAGTGCTATGGAAATGGCTACAAATCTCTGCTACTCCTCAGTCTGACCTTGGACAACTCCCATCCCTTTTCAGCCACTGATATTATCCTTTTTCAGTTTGTAGGCTGATCCTGTGACTCTTCCCACAAATATCAAGTATTCAGAGCAGAAAAGAAACACTAAAAGGTCAGGTAATGAAAATATAAATAAAGACTAGCACAGTTCGATGGAGAAGCGTTTGCAAATTGAGTTCATGTTCCAAGAGATAACAGCACCTGCTAACTAATCCTGACGGCTTTATCCACTCCACGGACTTCCTGGCCAGCAGTGATCAGAACAACCTGCTTACCTTGGCAAGGTCATAAAGTTTGGCAGCTTCTTCAAACAGCCCTTTACTTTCTGCCACTGAAGCAACTTTATTAATAATTGGTTTGGTGTCTCTAGTAAACTTGTCAATCACACCAGGCTAATGCAAGAAGACAAAGTAGAAAAGGTGGGAAATGAACAACATGTAACAGAACTGTTAAGTACTCCTAGAATAGATTAACTGGTTTAAAAAAATCTGCATGCAAGGTTATGACTAATTTTACTAGTTATTTCTCACTGGAAAAAATGTAGTGCTCTTCTGGTCTGGTGATGCTTCTTATCTTTCTTGCCCTATTGGCGTCTTATTTATAGATTTTTAAAAATAACAATGCATGACTGTGCAAGTTCTCGTGTCATGGGACCATCTGCAACCTACTGAAACATTACAAAAGCCCAGTCAAGCTTCAAAGCTCTCTTGTACAGTCTCCACTTCTAGAGGCAGCAGAAAATCCGGGAGTCAAATAACCCAGTTCTGGCTAAGTTATTTATGTAGAGGCCCCAAGCTGGTCCATAGTTTTGTCAGTATGAAAAGCCGGGCAGTTCAATGAGGGCCAGGCACTCCGGGCTTCTCTGGGTGGGGGGGGGGGGTGGATGAACACAGGGAACCCTTTTCGCAAGTGACTAGTTTTCTGAAAGCAATCATATCCTATCTTCTGTCCCTTTTAATAGACAACTCAAGAATATTTCTGCCCTACACTCTAAAGTTCAATGCCACTCGGGTTCCCTGTGAGCAGCAAAAGTAAGTGACAGACTGACAATGGTAAGCCAAGTATTAAGCTTCAGTATTTAGAAACAGAGAAGGAAACTGTGAAGACAGCAAGCAAAAAGATCAATGCGTATGAACTTACTTTTCTACTGCCATCATTCTCCAGTTTTCCAAGAATCATATCGAACTACCAATGGAAATGAAAACAAAATGAAGTTAGAAAGGATATGCTAAATACTCCAGGGCAATTCTAGTGTTAGATAACAGCATAGCCTGCAACATCTGCATGGCTTTAGATGTGCATTAGCCTAATAGCTCACCGCCCACTGGCATCAATGCTGCAGTGCTGGGAACAAAGCCGATAGTCCCAAGATTCCAGGGGATGGAGAGACTGCTGCGGCCCTTTTATTTGGAAATCCAACAGCTCGGTGTGACCTCTCACAGAAGGCAGACCTAATGCAAGACGTTTGTCTCCCTTTTGTCAGCACTTCCTTCGCCTACAACAGCCTTCCCTACACTAGCCCCTGTGTTGGACTACAACTCCCATCGACCCCCAGCCGGCATGAATACTGCATCAAAAGTGACGCCCAGGCTGCTTGCCTCCAGGGGAACCCCTTTACCCGGAGGGAATCCCAGTTCCTTTGCCACATGTTTTATGTGCAATGCAAGCATAGCGAAGGATTCCTGAACATGTTTTATGTTGCACCCAAGACCTTTCAGACTCATGAGCCAGGTGTGCTGAGCCTCAGGGGGACCCCTATCTTCCTCCTCCTGCCATCCACCAACAAAGTGGGGGCATCCTAGGACTCATCAGCGTCTTGCGTGGCTATGCACACGGGCCGATCGGTGGGGCGAAGGAACTGCCCTGCGGGGAATGCGCCTTTCCCAGTGAAGAACAACCGATCGACCGAATAGCCCAGTACACAGCTTAAGACGCACTACACATGGGGGTCCCCTTTGAAGAAAGGGCAATTCCAAAGGCGGCGGGGAGTGCTTCTGCATACCTCTCTGCTTTCTATCACTAGCTCGCTCACACAGCGCAAGAACATGTTCTCTCCTTGGCTGTCCTTTTCATTCCTGCAAGAGAACAGTGAACAGGTGAAGGAGGGAAGGAAGGAGGAAAGGAAAATGAAAAGGAAGGTGGAAAGCACAGCCGGTGGCCCGTTTTTACATGGTAGCTATCAAAGCAAAAGCAGCCCTTTTGAAACAGGAGCCCACCTGAGAAAATAGAAGTACTGCAAAGCTTCTCGAGGGTCAGTGGACTCAAACTTGCGAGTGTAGAGCATCAGCAGGCGGACAAAATTCAGGCGCCTGATGGCCGGCGGGTCTCCAGCCTCGTGGCTCACTGGAACAGTAAAAGACAGATGAAACAAACATCAGCCCAGAGAAGTGAAGCACTTGCCTCTCCCGTTTTCTAACCAAAGCAGCATTCTGATGTACAATGGGGAGTACTTCAGAAGGGACAGCTTACGGGTATGTTCCTTCCATAAATGGCTTGAGGAAAGGGTTGAATAAACAAAGGTGGGTTGGTGTGTGGACAGCCGGTAGAAGAGGATATAAGTTTAGAACATCACTGCTGGAAGTCAAACCAGGGTGCAAGCATGTGTTCTGACTCCAAATGGCAATCGTTCAGTTAGGATTTTTTGGTGAAGACTTCTACAAGCAAGCTCTAAATATGAAGAATCAGAACTCCCTCATAATGGTATTGGCGGGCAGAGGCCAAATGTGACCTGCCTCACTGCCTCTTGGCAGTGTGTGATCAGAGGGCCAAAAATATGAATTTGGTCATTCCTTGCCATGCAGCCTTTGAACCCCTCCTGGGAAGCAGGAAAGCTCCCAGCTAGACTTAAGGCAGGAGTGTTCAATCTCTTTCATTGTGAAACCCAGATCTATGTCTGAGCTATCGGGGCTGCTTTCTGGTGGTGGGCAGAGCTGAGGATAAAGGGAGGCTGAAAAATGAGTTCAGAATGCCAGCACCTTCTAACTTAACAATCTTACCAGCAGTAACTTAGTAGAGGTATATCCAACTATTCTGCCACAAAACCAAGGGGGCTACGCTCCCCGATTTAGAGAGTGCCAAAGTCAGTTGCTCTCAGTAACTAAGGACATTTATTCTAGGGAGGCTGCTGCTGCGTAGAACAAAATTCAAGAAAACCACGTAGGGCAGTGCGGTGTGGGGTGGACTGGGTTTCTGGAGATCTGGCCTTTGATCCCCACGCAGCCATGGAGCCCACTGGGTGACTTTAGGCCAGGCACAGACTCTCAGCTTAACCTACCTCACAGGGCTGTTGTTGTGGGAATACAATGGCAAGGAAGAGGCTGCCTTGGGTCCCTCACAAGAGGAAAAAAGGCAAGATTTATAGTAATACTGCCAATTTTTCATTCCCTTCATTGCTGACCTATTTGCCTGCCACAATGGGGAGATGATTAGCAGCGTATGCCACTTAAAAATAAATAAATAAAAGGATAGCTCACTCAACAACATTATCCCAAAATGAAGCTTCTGTGGTCAAGTATTCTGCCATGACTAAACAACCAGCCTTCAGTCCTGCCCTCTGGCTGGCTACCCAAGGCTGGAGAAAGAAAACAAACCTAGATGGGTCCTTGGTCCGACCTCGCAAGAACCTTCTTATGCAACTGCTGATCAGCTGCTTAGCAGAATTAACTCATATTCCCAGAAGCATCATGACGCGACGATGCAGCAATTGCCGAATGATCGCTGGTGCACCCAGTACCCATCAGCTTATTGTCACACCGCCTACTAGCAGTCTTAAAATAGGGTGCAGAGCCGTGATCCTGAGGTGTGGCACAGGTATGACAAAGCACGGGGGGGGGTGCACCCTCCTAAGAGAACAGTGTGGCAGGTAAGCCACACCGCTGGGACATCAAAGAGTTTGTGTGAACTGGCTGCCACAGGACCGCCAATGTCCAGGCTGCCAATGTCCAGGACTGTGGTCTTTCAGCAAACAGAAAGGAGGTTGAAAAGACGTGGAACCGGTCAAATTGTAAGGATTGCAAGAATCCAAGGTCCAAGAAGTGTGACTTTTGTTCACCGGGGCTCTATTTTTCATCTGCAATCAAGCCATCAACCAAAGTGACTAATACCACTTTTTGGCCTAGATTTTCCTGACTCTGGAGCAAAGACGCTGAACCTTAGGCCTTCCTGGAGCCCCAGCCCACCATCTTGGGCTTCTCAGATGCCCATGCTTCCTTGCCCTAGTCCACCCCCTTTATTTATTAGATTTCTATCCCACTTGATTAGTCGAAGTTGCTCCCTTTGCCCCAACTGACAATCGATTCCCTGGCTTATGTGTCCTTTTTCTTCTCCCTCAAAGGTCGAAAGGTTTAGTTACTGGAAGTGAAACCTTTAAGTTCTACTGTCCTGGCGTTACGGCCTTCACTTCTTCGTTTTGCCTTCACACTCAGCTCACCGCTGGGAGACACCTCCAAGATGCAATTCAGCCTACCCCGTAAGTGGCAGGCCGCAGCCTGCCTGGTTTGGGTTATTCTGCACAGGAGACGAACCACACACCGCACAAGGGCTGATTTCTGGTAGGGAAGTGCAAGGCCACGGGTTTCGGGACTCACAGAGCTGTGCACTCTGCCCGGATGACTTCAGCAGCAACTTCAGCTCAAAAAGGACCAAAGCGACGTGAACGGCGTGACAGCGCAAGCGCTCCGTGCGGAAGAGGAAAGCGATGGCGGCTTCAAACTGGGCGGTCAGGAACAGCACTTGGAAGTAGAGGAAGGGCTGCTGGTTGACGGCAAAGTGCGATTCACCTGCAGAAATAGGCAAGAGTGGAGGGACAGGTCTTTCCACAGTTCTGCTCCTAAGGGCAGATACCACCTGTCAATACAGTGCAAGCAGAGCGAGCAGGGAAAACAGAAAACACCTTTTCACTACAGCTCATCGATCGGTGATCACAATCACTGTACCCACTTCATAGAAAGTTAAAATAAAAGCAAAACAGTGGGAATTCATAATAGTATCTTTCCAAAAAAAGAAAAAAGAAAAAAAGTGCCGAACATTGATTGATTGATTGCATTTGTATGCTGCCCCACAGCCAGAGGCTCTCTGGGTGGTTCACAGCACAGTCATAAAAATACAGATAAAAATAAATAACAATGATAACTAAAGCTGTAAAACATAAAATAATAAAATACAACATAAATGCAGCCATATAAACACAAAAGGAGGAAATAAACACAATATAACCCATAAAACAACAACCAGTAAGCAATAAAACAATAAACCAGGCCCAAACCAACAGTCAAATCTAAAAACAGAGACAAAATAAAAGGTTTTACCTTGGCGCTGAACACAAGATAAGGAGGGTGCCAGTCACACCTTCCCTGGGAATTCCACAGGAGGGGTGCGGCAAGAGAGAGGGCCATTTGCCTTGCCAATTCCCCCCTCGCCTCATGGGGGGGGGGGGGGGCGGTCATGAAGAAGGGCCTCCACTGATGGTTTGGTAGGGATATACAGAAACAGGCATTCCTTTAAATAGCCTGGCCCCAAGCTATTTAAGACTTTTATGTTAGTGTGAGCTAATTCTGTTTGGACTACAGTGTCCGACATTCCTGACCATCAGCCATGCTTCCTCAGCGTGATGTGGGTTACAGTCGAAAGCAACTTGAGGGCATTGTGACTGGGGGAAGACTGTTAAAAGACTGTATTTCTTCATAGTATTAATGTTAGACTTGCGCTCCAGGCTGGACACTGGACAAAGAGTCATGAATCATCAGTTTCTGACTCACTATTTAATGTGGCCTTCTTCTCCATGTTAAATTAAAATATTACAAAGCATCAAAATTATTTGTGAAATCCTTTAGAAAGGTCTTGTTGAAAACTCTGCACGTAGGTTCCACTTAACAAAAACCATCAGGGGCACAGATCCATCACTGCAAAGCATCACTCCATTTCTGGGATAACTTAGGAGTAGCTTAGCAGCTTAGGAGTACTCCTCGACCCGGAGCTTTCTTTGGAAGCTCAGGTGACAGCGGTGGCGAGGAGCGCCTTCCTTCAGCTTCGGTTGATTAATCAGCTGCGCCCCTACCTGGAGTTCGACTGCCTGGCGACGGTGACACACGCGCTGGTGACTTCCCGCCTAGACTTCTGTAACGCGCTTTACGTGGGGCTTCCCCTGAAGACGGTCCGAACACTTCAATTGGTGCAAAATAGAGCTGCCAGGTTGCTGACGGGGACGGGGCATTATGCTCACATGACTCCAGTCCTCCGTCAGCTTCACTGGCTGACCATTGAAGCCCGGGCCCAATTCAAGGTGTTGATTATGACCTATAAAGCCCTAAACGGCTTGGGTCCTGGCTACCTGAACGAGCGCTTACGTCCGTATATGCCCAACCACCCTTTGAGATCTGCGGGAGAGTCCCTTCTCCAGGAACCCTCCATGAAAGAAATTAGGAGAGTAAGTACTCGGAGGAGGGCTTTCTCTGCGGTGGCGCCCAACCTATGGAATTCACTCCCCAAAGAGGTCCGCCTGGCACCATAGTTACTGGTTTTTTGGCGCCAGGCAAAGACCTTTTTATTTAAACATCATTTTAATTGTTAAAACATATGATCTGGCCAGGGCAACTTCTTCTTCCTTCTCTTTTCTCCTCCTATATTATTTATTTACTTATTTTATACTGATAATTTTAATTTTATATTTGTAACTCAGTGTATTTTTTGTATTTTTGTATTTAATGGTAATTTATTATGTTCTATTGTATTTCAATGTATTTTATTGTGTTGTAAGCCACCCCGAGGTTTCGGCAAGGGGCGGCATAGAAATGTTATAATAATAATAATAATAATAACAATAACAACAACAACAACAACTTACCATAGTCTTCAAGCAGCTGTTTCTGGAACTGGGACAAAGTCAGCCTGTCCTGGGGGGCATTAGAGCCGTCATCATCAAAGCACACTTGGTTCAGCTAGATGGGAGGAGGAGAAAATGACGTTTTGGTAGCCCTTTCCTTGCCCCATGGATCTATGCAACACGAGGCTGCTCTCCAGAAGCCAAAACACAAATAACCAAAGGATGCCTCCCCTTCCAAGCCAAATAAACCACCTAGACAAGGAGATGCTTTCTTGCAGGTGGACAGGCGAGGCTGGACAGGAGAACGACACTTTCATATTCTACAATAGTTACACATTCATACAACAGCCTCAGGGAGAAACTGTCCTCTCAACTCCCTATTTTCCATGTTTAAAAGGGGAATAACGATGACTCACCCCTGCAAGGTTTTGGTAGGAAGAACTAACATATTCTCCAGCTTCCCAAATCCATGTTTGATAAACAGGTATCCAATTCAAGATGACCCATCACTCTACTGGAATCCAAAAATAATTTAACAAATAGGGCTTTTGACAGGGACATATACACAGGCATAAACGTATGCCTCTGTCAAAGACTCCTGATTAACCCTGTCAAAAAATCCCATTGTAAAAGGAAGCCTGTAAATGGGGTGGGTCACACTTTTCTGAGGATTTAGTTTGTGGAAAGGGTAGAAATGTACGCAGACGTGGAGAAGAATCAGACCCAGCCAAATACACTGCAAGATCTCACCTTGAAGAGGGCAATTTACTGTCCATCACCTTTCTCAAGAAAAGATCATTCATGGCTTTGCTATCCCTTGACAGCTCGTTTTTTGACAGCTATCAAGAAAATACAAAGTAAGAACTGGACAGTTTTGCAGTCTCTCTAGGTCAATATCCATGACTGTTGCCTGATGTACATGGTGAGTGGATACCTCACCCGGTATTGCTCAGGTGAGGCATTCCCATCCCCACAACTGCATACCTCTGCATCTATGCAAGCCTGATTAAACACATGCATATTTGCACGCATTTGCTGTGCTTAGAAAATTAAAAGAAGGGGATGAATAGTCAACTCAGAGATTGAGACGGTTTCAGTTTTAAAGGAGCTACGGCAAGCGAAAAAGACTTGCAATCACAGAAAGGAGACAATTCGGCTTTAACCAATCAATCCATGGATAGCTATTCACAGGGAAGATTAGTGTGATGTGAGAACCTATCCACTGAGTGGAAATAATTAGCAAGCAGTGATGACTCTTTAGGAAACTGCAGCTTACCTTTAGCCAAAGGTAATCTTCCGTCTTATCAGCCACTTCACTGTGGTTGTCAGCAATATCACATCGGCCTATGATGCAGTAAACTGCTCTTTTATATGGGTCAGTGTTATTTCTCAGGGCCCGCCTATAATGAAGGCGAACCTTGTTCTCAGTGGCAGGAGACAATCTGTAATTAAAAGGAGTATGATTAGGACAAGGCATCTTAAAAGGGCCGCCAAACGGACTTCCATTCTCAGTGTCCAGCCTCTTGTCATATCCTGGAGTTGCACATTATTTATGACAATGAGATTTTTAAAAAAGTTCTTAAGTGCGGTTTTTAACAAACATTTCCATGTGTTTCCAAAGATCCACCCCGTAAGAAGTTCTGCATGGTGCTATTGGACATGGTTTATAAATCCAATAAATCAATACATGCCTCAAAAACTTTGTATCCAGGAATTTAAACATGGAAGGACAGACATCAATACACTGGGGCTGCCTAGGCCAGCTTGGTGCCCCCACTGTCTGGGGATGAAGGAGGTACAGTGCCACACACCTGGGAAAGTGCCAGGTTGAGGAAACCTGCAACGCATCTCTCCTGATTTCCTCCCTCCACACACCTGCTGCATGGGCATGCACACACCCTCCTCCAGCCTCCCTTAGTGAAATACTTGTCTGTTTGCTTTACACCGCGCGTTTCCACTGCTACCTTTTATCTTTACTGTGCATATATTCCTGGAACCAAACTTTAAAATCTCCAAGCTGGTGCTGGGCCCGATTCACCACTTGCAAGGCAGCTATTAAGTCCCCGCATCTCATGCAGTAGTAGATGACGGCCCAGACAGGATGCCCTTCCACTTCCCCATCCTGAAAAGCAAGCAAGTGTTACATGGGGCAAAAAGAGTTTTCCTGGCACTACAACTAAGGTGAATTGGGGGGTCGGGGGGAGAATCCAAATCTGGGCTGTACTTGTTCCACACTCAAGGATGAATGCCTGCATGCTGGAGCACTCCAGACAAGAATTCCTTGCGCACAGGAAAGTGGGGATACTGGAGAAAGCCTAGCGTTTCCCCTGGCATTCTGTTTTGCTTTGCATAAGGAAAGCCAATACATTCTTGGAAGTGTCTTTGATCTAGCAGAGACTTTAATGAACAACAGTGGAGGAAGTCTCTCGGACAGCATGGAAGGTAGAAACCGAGGCTGCAGGGGAATTGGTGAAAACAGCCTCTCCTGAGTGTCTATTTGTGGACACCTCTTTGGATCAAAAATCTCTCTGCGGACAGAAGGGTTCCAGCAGATACAAACATGTTATGTTTATCTTGGTACAGAATGTTTAACCTTCCACTCCCCCAAATCATAGAACTAGAAGGCTCTGATCCAAGGCTGGGCAACTTGATGTCTTGGCCTTCAAAACCCATGATTCTTCCCCACTGGCTAAGCTGGCTAGGCCTGATGGGAGCTGTAGGCAGCACATTTGGAGGGCCACAAATTGTGCACCCATGTTCTAGATAGATGCAACTACAACACCTGCAAGGATGGGCTATCAACGTTCTACTTTGATACTTCATGCAAAAAAGAGGAAACCAGTTCCCAAAGCATTCTGTCCCACTCAACATCGCTCTTACCCTCAGGAAGCTTTTCCTAATTTTAGCCAATTCTCCTTTGCTGTAACTTCCACCCATTCATGCCATTCCTGCTGTCTGGAGCACAAACAGCAAATTTACTCCACCTTCTGTGTGGCAGCTTTTCCGATATCTGAAGACTGCAATTATGGCTCTGCACTTAACCTTCTCCTCCTCAAGCTAAACAGGGCCAGCTTTTCCAACAGTTCCTTATAGGACTTGGTTTCCAGACCCCGTAGCACCCTGCTTGCCCATCTCTGGATGCACCATAGTTTATGCTTAAAATGCGGCACCCTAAACTGGATGCAGTTCTCCAGGGGCAGCTGGATCCACCCAAAGTAGAGCAGAAGCATTATGCTTGGTGACCTGGACACTGTGTGTCTGTCAATGCAGCCTGCGCATGCACTCACTTTTTCAGCAGCAGCACTGCACTTGGTTTTTTTTACATTTTTTTTAAAATAGCCTTGCCTACGAGCAACTGCAGAGTCGAAGAGGTATTCTTCTCGTGCTCTGTTTTTATATACATGAGAATTCCCCACCTGACAGCCCCACTTCAACCCAAATGAGGCAGAGTCATCTGACCGGGCAAACATGTAATACGAAAACATCACGGGTGGGGCAAGATTGATGCCACCTACCTGGAGTCCTGGGACAGACACCGGGAGTTTGATGTTCAGGAAACTGCGGACTAACTGGTAGGTTCCAGGTATGCCGCCCAGCTGGGCTTGGTGTAAGTTTCCAAAGACAGTTGCCAAGGTATAGTTCTTGTAACTGCAAGGAACCAGAGGTTGCTCATTCACCAGGAGTCCCACCGTATGACATTTGTCTTCAGCGTCTTTATCAAGTGTACCAGCCACATGGACAGGCAAGAGCCTGCTTGCTCAGTGGTCATACCTTTGTTCAAGGTACTGCAGGGCCTGCCTCACAAACTCCATCTGCACCTCCATGCTTGTCCGGACTTTCAAAGAATCGCTCGCAGGAACCAGCAGAACGTCAGTCATTTGCTTCACCATTGCCCACACGTCAGTGATGTTCTGCAAAAGCAACAGGCGTGGCCTTCAGGGACGGGGCTCCTGGATCTCACAAGCAGAAGCCATCGTGCACCCAAGCCCAGCTTTTCTCCCCATCTCAACCCCACTTCTTTCCCCCTTAATGCATTTTTATAGTAAGGACGGAAGAAGTCATGGGAAAACATGGGAAGGTTCAAAGTAGAACACGGAGTTGTCTGGACTGGCCAGTAAAAGTGTCATGAACAAGGCCTGGAGGCAATGCCCTGAAAGCCCCAAGCTGGAAGCAGTTCTGGTCAAGATGTCAGAACTTGCTACCATGAGAAGAGTTAACAAATTCCTCCTCTTCACCCAGACAACCCCGAAAATGAGGAGGGCCAATTATCACCATTGTTACTTACTGGGAACCCGCAGCTGCAACTGATGGTACTTACTAGCCTGCCAGTTTTCCTTCTTCTGGCTTGCCCCCAAAGGGGTTCTGGGGGTTACAGTTTTGCAGAGATGCTGGGAACCCGTATGAGAGATCCTGCCACCAATCTATGAAGCTACAGTTTCCAGGTTCCCTTGGAGTAAAAGCTGAGTAGGATCACACCTGGCAGAAGGCTGTCAGTTCTCTTTGCAATTACTTCACTTCTGGGAATTTTGGCTGGAAGGGCTTTTCCCAGTGCCTTGTGCAGGACGGGCATGCAGCCTTCTGAAAAAGACTTATTGCTTGGTATTGCATTTGACTACTCAGAGAAGCTAGCAAAGACTAATTGGTCCTATCGGGGCGCTGAACTTCCAGCCCATGGGCCAAAGCCAGCCCTCCAGGGTTGCCCCAATGCTTACACCTCTTTTTTTCCTTCGCCCACCTGCTTTCCCCAGTTGTTTGGTGGCTTCCCAGCTTCCGTGCAGCTTTTTCCCATTCTAAAAGGCTGAAAATGGCTCTCCTATGGTTTAGTTAGTGGGAGAAGGAGCATTAAGCTCAAACAGGGTGGAAGTCTGGTGTCTGGCCATGCCCCTTTTATTTTTGGTCCGGGCCACGATCTAAATGCACCCCTAGAGAACATAAACAAAGTGTAATTCAGCCTTCGGATGAAAGAGCTTTGACACCTATAGGTTGAAAGATCAGCTAAGGATTGTTTTCTTTTGCTTCTTTCTAGTGCAAATGAGTCAGTTACAGAAAGTGTAGCTCTGCTGAGAACAACGGGGACAGGGTCCAATATACTGTCTCATTTTGGGTTTTTTAAACAATTAACACAGGCATTGAACTTATAGAAATAAATTCCTAAAACAGAGGTTAAGTAACAGCTTGGCGTATGATCCTCCCCTGCCAACTGTAACAGGGGTCTTACTTTGGGGTCTCTTGCCTGGAGCAGCCAAAGTTGAGATGTCCTGGCACAGATGTCCTTGACAGCCAAAGGCAGCTGGAAGGCAAAGGAGGAAGCAGCTCCCCCAGCAGCTGGCCCAGCGGTCAAATAGCGGCCTCCCTCGGATGCAGTATGATCTCAGGGTGCCTGCACACACCTGGATTATGCTGCGTTTGTATGCACGCTTGCACATCTGTCTGAAAAGCGACCTGACTTGCCCCTATCAGTCAGCTACGCATCTCAGCCAAACCCCAAAGTCAAACACCTCCCAGAGCTTATCGGGGGTACCTTATCGTCCAGTTCCACCGCGGCAGCGCAAAGGTCCACCAAGTTCGGCTGCAGATGTCCACTCACAATCTTTTCATTATAAACATAGATCTAAAAAGATAACGAGCATGAGCAGCTCTGCATGGCACAGGCCCCTCTCCGCCACCCCTTCCCCTGATGGCAGCGGAACAGCAGGCCTCCTGTCTGGGGAAATGGCCTGACAGCGCCCTGCATCATTCCCCACCTGCGTGCCAGCACCCACTAGGGGATGCAGGGGCCCATAAAAGTCTCCCTCGCAGTCTGGCTGCGCCTCCAGGCCAATGCCTGCATTGACCCAATCCTGGCAACACAGACAGGTCAACTTGCAGGTGAGGCCCTCCACCCGGGACTCCACCGGCAGTCTTCGGCAAGCCATGCACTTCTCTGCCTGCAAGAGGGGTTTTCACCTCGTGCCCATGCAGTGAATCACAGTAAAGCCAGGAAGATTCCCTCAAAGTCACACAAGACGTTTCTTGTCCGGAATAACCAGGAGGCATTTTCCATTTCTCAGAGAAATGGACCCTTTTGGGAAGGCATTCTCAGCATCCTCTCAAAAATGGGGTGTCCCCCATCCCCCCCACCAAATACACTGTTTAAAAAATAAAAAACCTGAGGCCCTCATTACCACTGAGTACATTGTCACCGAGTACCTCATTACCACCTGCTCTGCCTTCCCCTACAGTATCTGGGGCTGAATTTAGCATCTCCAGGTAGAGAAGCTTCCATCACAGCCCCCTGCCTGCATCCCTGGAGTAGTGCTGATGACCAGAACAGAGAAGCCAACAGGACCGCCCTGGGTCTAGACAGAAGTCGGTCCAGCTGGGCTCAGCGGGGTTTATTCCCAGCTAAGCAGGAAAATCTGCAACTGTGGGAACAAGTCTGAGTGCAATCAGTGAGATTTATTTCTGAGGGGGCATACACAGGATCATACCATCCTTCCTAAAATATGTTACTAGCCCATCACCGCCGCCTACTGTAACAGTTCTCCATTGGAACTGTATGCCTGTCTCCCACATCACACCCCCCATAAAGAAAAACTAGCTCTCTGCCAGCCACAGGATGGGGACACGGTGTTGCTACCTTGGCCTTTTTGTGTTGGGCACACACGTGGCGATTTGAGAAACACTTGTGGGCACCACCACAAAATGACTGCCATGGGAGAGGTATGGTGAAGTAACCTGCCCAAAAGACTAGGTACAAGGCAGAGGGAAGTTCCTTTGAGCTCACTGTGATCAGCACCAACAGAAACCTGCTTCACAGCATGCCCAAACCAGCTGCTCGGATCTTTTTTTAAGTAGGAGGGACTGGCGGGATGACACAAAAGATGCAGGGTTCTTGCATATCTCCGAAAAAAATAATATTCTCCAGTGCAGCCATTCAAAACAGTGGCTCAAATTGCTACTGGGACAGACAACAGACAGGCCTCGATTTTTGCTGCTGTAATTTCTGGACTTAACAATCCTAGTTCTTCTTAAAGGAATGGATGGTTGCGGGGAAAAACCTCTTCTAAATTCCCATCTGATTTTTTCCCTAAATTAATTCCATGTGGAAACATGAGGAGTGTATAATACTGCTAGCATTCTGTCACTCAAAAGTAGTACCAGAGAAGATCAAACCAGCTATTTCAAATCAAAGGATACACTTATAAAAAAGGACAAGAAAGGGGAGTCCTAAAAAACCTCAGCAAAGGTTTGCCCTACAGCAAACCCAGCAAAGGTGGCTTTTAACACCGAATGATTATGAAACCGGGTTCCATTCCAAACAAATTCAGGATTTCAACCTGAGGCAACCCAGACAACTTCTGACCAGCAACACCGCTGGCAGAATTTGACACAGAACTGAAATCTTGCCATGAAAGCGAAGAAGTAAGAGATCAGAGATGGTGATTGATCTGTAGGCCTCCAAGCAAATTCCAAAACAGCAGAAAAACCTCCCATGCTCTTTTCCTGGCTGCTTCCAACTGTTACGTCCCGCTAGTGCATGATTCCGCAACCCAAGGAGCTCCAGATGTGTTAGACTGCAACTCCCATAATCCCCAGTGAGCAAGACTGTGCATTCGAAGATCCAATCTGTTCCAGGAAGCAGGGGACTGTTGGCACGTCACATTGAAAGCTAGCTCCTGCAGTCTTTTACTGCGGTAAAATGGGGAAGGGGTGGTAGGAGCTGAAGAACTGCCCCCAACCAAACAGACAATATGGGATCAGAAGGGGACGCAGCGGGAGCTGGTCAAAGCCTGCTTCCTGTGTCCCACTGCTTAGCATGTGTTCTGCTCAAAACTTGTCAAATTCCCCGTCTTAAAGCACCGCTTGTGCAGCCCTTCGACCTTTGCAACCCAAAGCTCCCGTTCATAGCGGCTGAAGATTTACAGCAGCCGTTCGCTGCACAGGCACCTACCCTTTACAGATCCGGCTTCCAAGGTCGACACATATCGAGCCCATTAAAACAAAACAGAAAACCCCATGCACAGTTTTTCAGGATCCCGGTTGGATCTGAAACCATATGGGGTGGAGGTCTTCTTTACTCACCTGTCGAGCATACGCCATCTCAACGTTGTCCAAAGAACTGCGACCTGGTGGTGGCAACTCACTGATGTAAGTTGGCTGTGGGAAGAAGATGAAAATGCTGGACAGACTGGCCCAAACTCATTGAGCGCCTTTTGTGGCCTGCTGTATCAAGTGCAACGTCAACACATTAACTTGCTGCTTGCGACTCCACCTGACAGTAATGCATCGCTAAACGAAATGGCTTTGGATGTGGCAGGCCTCCCCACAACTGGATAACCCCTCGCGGCTGCCTGCGCTCATCCTCTCCTCAAAAATCAGCCCCAGCCAGAATGCCCAATGGTCAGAGAGAGTGGGAATTATAATGGTTCCTCACCCTTGCCTTAGGGAAACCTCTTTCGATTCTCCTTAATGTATCCTGCCCTTGCTCCTTCCTTTTGCCAAAACTGATTTTAAATAGATTTTAACAAAGGTATTTTATTCCCAGGCTCCAAGTCCCAGCTGGCAAAGTGAGTTGGGAGTGCCATTAACAACGGTTTCATAACTGTGCAATGGCATTCAGAGGTGAAAAGAGCCCTTGAAAAAGCTTGTCGTCGAGAAAAAGCTTCTAACGGCATCACCGGGGGTGGGGGGGATCCACTCCCCCTCACCCCGCTGTCCCCAGTCGTGTGTCCTTCCAATGCAGGGGTCACCAATGCCCATAATTCTGGAAGTTGACAGTCAAGACATTTAGATGAGGATTGTAGTAGTTGTAACCCAACACCTTTGGAAGCACTGAGTTCGGAAAGGGCCCAGAAGCTTTCAGACACCACACTGCCAGTTGTTACTCCTGTAAAATAATTTTACAACCACAAAGAGCTATGCCATGACAGTGGATAATGTCACATTTAGAGTCAGCTGCAGATGCCACCCTCTTTACAGAGGCTAAAAAAGGAACTGATGCAGGAATAAATCTCTCCATTTTAGCAGTCTTTCGGAGTTGGACAAAGACATCTTCTTCTTAGGTTTCCTGGTGTAATTCTTTGGTTTGTTAGTGGTGGGATCACTGAACTTTGGTTTGTTTGGACTGGAGAAGTCCAATTTCTCAGGCTTCAGTTTCAATCTCATCACCACACAGGGGCAAAGGAACTGCTTGGTAGGCAGTGCAAACCTCACTGTTTGAGACGGAGTTGCATCCTAGATGGCTTCAGATTTGGCTGTCTGAGGGAATGCCTGTCTCTTGATGAACCTGCTCAGATATGAAGACCTGCAAGAGAAAACTCTGCCTTTGGGTAATGCTCTCAGAGACCCGTTTCTCACACGGGAAAAGGTCTTTTGTTGCACTGACCCGAACTATGGAATGCCTTTCCTCACCAGCCGCTCCAACTCTGTTGGCCTTGAAAAAGGGCATGAAGATGCATTCTGAAGTGCGTAGCTTCAGTGCATGTGTGTCCCTGTGGTCTTAAGGACCACCCGCCTTGCGCTGAAGGAGCCCCGAGTCACACATGAGCTGGCTGGGCTGGAATGAAGTCTGCCTAAAGTTCAGTGCTTTTTGTTCATGCAGGTGAAGCCAGGACAGGTCCCCACAGGCTGCCTCGGAATGCACCTCTCTCTGCTGAGACCAGCTATGCGCCATGCGTGGGCTGACCTGTTCTCCTCAAGGTTCTCTTGCATGATGCCCCATAGTATGAGGGCACGTTTACTAGAAATCACGAGCAATGGCAAGCCCAGTGACGGCTTAATTGCAGGGAGGCTTAGCGTGACATGCAAACCTGCTCAGTGGCACAGGACATAAACTTGAACAACTCAAGACTGCCTCTGATTAAAACCAGTGAACCCAAAAAACAGGGCATGCATGTAGAAGGCACTAGAATACCTTTTCAAGACCTGAAGGACTATAAACCCTGAGAAAATGCCCTTTTAGGGCTCTAAATATTTAAGCAAGCCGCGGGTTCCTGCTTTATTTTAAAATCTGCAAGAAAAGCTTTTTGCTGTTGCAAGGAGGTTATTTCCCCCCTCTGGTCTCCACAGAGGCAAGAACCAAGCAAAGAAGCACACTCCAACATATGAATGGAGGAGGATGAAAGTTACTTTCCTGGAAAGAGGGGAGGGGGGAGAACATGCAGTGCTGCTTGAGCGGGTCGCTGTCCAGATGGTTCGCGAGGCCGGCCGTCGCAGAGCAGCGACCAAATCACCGTGGAGACCAAGGAGAGTGCAGTCCAAATTATGGAGGAAGCCCAGCTCCACGAACAGCCGCTGGAAGCTGCTTGGTTAAGAGGCACCCAGGAGGCCCTGTTCAAATACTCAGATGTATTTAGGCACCAGGCCATGGCTGGGCCATACAAATTGGATGAACTACCAAATGGGTCTCCAGGATCATTAGCCCATTAACCAGCATCCCAGGTGAATTCCTGTAAGCTTTCAAAAGGAATGTGGACGGCGGCTACTAAGAGTGTGGAGCATCGAGTCTTTTATCAGGTCGGGGGAAACCTAAAATCGCAAAACACGGTAGCATAAATTATGCTAAATAAGCGGGACCATGCTGCTTGAATTTCCTTTGCCCAGACCAGGGCAAAAAATGCTGTGGTGCGTGATAAAATCTGTTGTGCTGTTGTTCTGAATTGTCTGGTGCATAATCGGCCCGTCACTTCTGCGGCCAGCTATTTGGTCCAATAAGCACTGTGCAAATAGCTTTATTCTTATCTGTCCAAGCCTGGCATGGATTTGTAAAGTGCCTGGAAGTGCCTTCCAGCCTCCCCGTGTGCAATTTACAGGCCACTTTTCCGATTTCAATGCAAGACAAAGGAGAAATGTGCTTGCTTTTGTGCAGCTCTGGAGTCAGTTCCCCAGCACAGAAATCTACCGTGCAGTCATGCTCCAGCCCTGCTCCACAGATGATCAGTTAGCCACACTTGTTGCAACGCGCAGGAAGCAAAGAGTACATTATTCATGCGAGCATGCCAACACATTTCAACTCGTGGCAGACTTTTGGCAGTGCACCAAACGGCCTGGGCATCAGATGCAGCGTTTTGGGAGGGATAAGGTCATTGGAGGAGGGTGGGGGCGGGAGGCAGCAACAATTCCACCATGCTTGACATTTTGGCTCAGCCTTGTTGTTCGAGCACATCCGGAAAACCAGGATGCACATGGAAATGCAGAAGGACCTGGAGAGATCCAAACTTTGACAGAGGAGCCGTGCTTCTTAGCTGCTGAAGAAGAGAGCTAGGAAGCAGTTGGGCGTCTGTAATAAAAAGAGTGTTGTTGCAAAAACACGGGCGAGTTGGAGTGAGCCTAATCTGAACAGAGTTCTTCACCCGACTGCTCAGCTAAACTAAGCATAATTCATGCTCTCTTTTCTTCTGTCAGCAACCATGCCCTTCAGATTAGGGGACAGTACAAACCTCCAAGAAGAAGGAAGCTATTGCTGCCTTCTTTGAACTACAAAGTGCCATCTCCTAATTAGTCTTATTTTGGTGAATGGTGTGTGTCGGTATTTTTCACCAGCTCGAAGCTCGAAAATTGGCTCTCTGGCTGACCTGCTTCCTGCTGGGTTTGGATCTATGCCATCTAGCCGATTCTTCATATCCAGAGGTATCAATTAAACCCCTATTATTTTCTAAGGATGAGCATCTGGCCTCTTTCTCCCTCTCTCTGAGACTTTTTTTCCCCCCTGAAACAGGGATTAAATGCAACCTGTGATGGAAAAGTTAAATAGCTAGCTTTTAACACAGCAGATGCACATCAAAACGCGTGGGCTTGTAACTTCAAGGTCAGGAACAAAGCAACTCAGCGGGGTTTCTAATGTTCTCACGCAATATATCAACCTTATGCAGTCTGGGCAGAAGAGAAGACTGATCACATTCGATCTTTTAACCCATGAGAGGAAATTTTCTCAAGGGTATTTTTTGGCCTCCTTTGAGACTTTGACACCTGGGATGAGGGGAGTTTGTCACTTAATGGATGGGAGCTGATAGTGACAAGCTTTGATGTTCCAGAGAGGCTCACTTCAATTCACATAAACTCTAGGTAAGGTTGACAGCCACCGGGTAAGCTGCTCAGTGTATAAAGCCCTGCTCCTGTGGAGCAGTGAGTGATCTTTCCTACTTTCCTTCACATTTCATCTGGATGCCCTTACCCCTGCCCCCCCCCAAAAAAAAAAACTTGGTAGACTGCTGGGGCTTAATCATACAAGGTGAGCAAGACTCTTCTTTAAGAAAGGCACATTCATAAAGAAATTGTTCCTATGATTAACACGTGAATGAAATGGGGAATCCCAGCATCTCATGAGATCGCAACAACAACCCTAGCCAATGAACATGAACAATTCAGAAAAGGAACTTCAGGCTACCATACACTTCTCTAAGGTGAAACACTTTCGAGAGAAAATGAAAAATGCAGGAAGCAAGAGCACTGAAAGCTCAGACACAGAAAAACAGCAATGTATTTATTTATTTATTTATTTAAAACATTTCTATGCCGCCCCCATCACAACAAAGCCTCGGGGTGGCTCACACCAAAACAAAAACATACAAAATTATACAACAATTATACACTAAAAATATTAAAACCCGCTAGGGATGCGCATCCTGCAATCCTACGGAAACAAAGGGGGAAATTGCAGAATTTGGCAGTGAGCAGACAGACCAGCCTTCTGGGAAACTCAGCTTTGCTTGTAGAAAAGAAAATGACTAGCCATGGAAACATGCTTGGAAATGTATGGATAGAGATGAGACCTCAGAAACCAACAAAATGGCAGAGCAAGAATTTCAGGAACTAGAAGCAGGACTTCGCATCCCTGCCTTTCTCAGGCCTAGCAATGCCACAGGGAATCCACAAACACCCAAACCTGTAGGAAAAATATGCTAAAGAAAGCACAATATGCATACGGTTTACCAGCTGAAAAATTCAGCTTTCCCTTGCAGAATCTTGGGATGGCCTGTGGCAAAATGCATTTCTTATTTTATTGTGGGGAACATATACAGACCCCCAAAACACTGCTTCCTAATTAGATAATTACTAGAAACATGAACCCAAAGAATTTGCTTGTTAGAAAAAACCAATGTGTGGGATCCAAATTTAGTTAAGCCTGCTGATGTGGCATAACTAATGCAGAATCCAATCCAATATTTCTCAATATGTGACATTCCCAAATGATACCTCATTTTCCTGAGTAAAGTCGAGGGCATCTTCTCCTGAAGCCAGCAGTGTGTGGAGGATCCGTTGTTTCACCTGTTCCCACTCGACCAGCATCGATTCCCGATGGTATTCCTCGGCCATCGAAAAAGTCTAGGACAAATGGGTTCATGCAGAAAACAGCAAGTCACCGGACCCGCCCAGAAGTCAAGCGCAGGTACCATTTGCACCCCCAGTGGCAGGCCCACGAGCCACAGCTGCAGGACACGCCTGTTTTTAGTGCAGCTATTAACGGAGCATAACCCAATGTGATTGTAATGAACACTGGCTGCAAGAGGACAGCAGAAGCCAGCAATTTAGTGCCGAGAATCCTGTGCCGTTTTCCCATATTCAATATTGGCAACGCGCATGCACCTCGACACTTATCTTTCTAGAAAATAAAAATCTTACACCGTTTGGACTGCAGGTGGGTATAGGCAAACAGAGACCCAAGAGCTCACTCACGCCCTCTGAGCTCACACGTGTAGCACCTAGTTTTAATGTCTAGTTTAACCTCGTCTTCCTCCATGATTATGCAACCTCGGTTCCTGGGTGCTCGTTGCCAGTCGAGTTGGTGAACCGATGGTGCGATGCAGCATGAGGTAGTTACCCCGTTCCTCACCCATTTCAGCATCACCTTCCCTGCAGCGCTGTCTCCACAGGTGATACACTGTCCTGCAGGCTCACCTGCAGACTTTCCAAATGTACTCCACATGCGAGCACGCAGGAGACGGTTCGGCAGAGGAGGGATGGGCAAAAGGCAGGTCTCCTAATGTTTTGAACTTCAACTCCCCGGAACCACTGCTGGCAAGGGCCATGGTCAGGGATGATGGGAGTTGAAGCCCAAAACATCTGGAGATCTACCTTCTGTCCTGCTGCATAGCATCTCACACATTGAGCAACCAAGTTAGAACTCCTTTAGAAATTGTTCTTAGAATTGTGCCTGTCCCTTTCTGGGTTTTCTGTTTAGATGTTTGCATGCATGTGGTTTTTATACTGCATTATTCAAGTTTTAATCTCTGTAAAGCACCCAGAAAGCTTTGGCCATTGGGCAGTACAGAAAGATAAGAAATTCTGACAAGAATGAAGACCAGTGAGACCAATAATCAACCCTTCTTTTTCACAGAAATGACTTCTTTTTCTACACAACATGCTAAGAATATGAAGATTACGCCCGATAAAAGGAGTGCAGAACCTTAGACTTTTGGGCCAAAACTGTCAGAAGTGGCCCAGATGATGACCTGTGACCCTTCCCCAGGCCCTACATTTTCCCCTTGATGTCCAATACTTTGGTAATTGCCCAGCTTGTGTGCCATTTTCCCCATTCGAAAAGGTCAACATGCTTCAGTGGTGGTGAGAACTTGCAGCTACTCGTAAACCAGGCCTGCCTCTTTGCTCCTGCCTCCTTTGGCTTTGGGCACCACAAGTGTGGACCCCAGGAGCTTCTGTGCTCAGGTGTTTGGCCCTTGGTCTGCTCAGCCTGAAAAGAGTTCAACACCCCTGCTTTTCCTACCCAAGGCTTGGTGCTTTCCACCCAGTTCCAAGCATTTCAAAATTGCAAGCAGTACTGCACAAATTAGGGCTGTGCTTTTGCACAATATATTTATCTCTCAAATGGAGGGAGCCTTGGGAGTGGGAAATGAGCTGCAGGGGTGAAAGGAGCTCTCTGTGGCACTGAAGTTCCCCATTCCCATGGCCAAAATGCTTTTGATTGCAGATAATCAGAATAATGAGGTCTAGGAACACAGAAAGCAGCATAATTCATCCTTCCCATCCGACTGGCAGCAATTCTGCTGCCAAATCATTTTAACTGGGGATGCAGGAAAGGCAGGTGCTCCGTTGCTGTGGTACAGTCCCTCCTTGAATTGAATAGGTACAATGCAACAATCCTTTGACATAGAATATACCCAGACTTCCTTGGGACCTTTAAAGTATGAGTTAGTTTACACCAGCAAACAAAAGCGTGATCTATTTATCTTATCTGTTTGAAAGTAATGTGATGCTCCAGTGCTAAGGAATTAGCATTTTCCCCGTAAAGTTAGAACTGGATCTAGTTGCGTTTGTGTCAGACTGAGATTACAAACCTATGAACTCAGAAGTAAGCTAAACTAAATTATACTGGCCTTATTCCAGGTCATACAAATAAATAGGATTTAAATTAGTCATGACTAATTTACACCCCACCCCTTTCAATGGAGCTGAGAAAATCTAATATTGGATAAATCCCTAATTCAGTATTTGGTCCAGTTCTGATACAGAACAGAATGACAATGTCTTTCAACTGTAACAAACACATTCCATGTTTGATTGTGTCAGTACTTGCTAAAATGTTCACTGCTAATACAACTATTTATTTGATTTTTATCCTACCTTTTCTCTTACAAAGAACTCAAAGCAACTTACATGTGTCTGAGAGAATCCTGAGTAGTGGAGAGCCCATAGCTAACGGGGCAGCAGGCAAGAGAAAGAAAGACAGAAAGACAGAAAGACAGAAAGAAAGACAGAAAGACAGAAAGGACATTCTATACAGGATCATTATGGTATTTGTATTTTTTGCTGCATCTGTGCTTTAATTTTATTGGGTCTCCATCTTGTTTTGTTTTTTATTATAGTTTGCATTTTGTGAGTTGCTATGAAGCATCTAGAGAGCTTCTGCTACTGGGTGTAGAAATGACAGGAAATAAATAATAAAAGGTGCACTGTTAGTTATAATAGGACAAAAATTCTGATATGCAATGTTCCAGTAAGCAAACTCTGGCAAGCAGGGGTGGAATTAATGACAGAAAAATTTGTTCTAATTTTTAGGTTATTACTTTTAGCTGATCTGATAATCTTTCAGAAGCTGAAAAAATAACTCTACACTAAAATCAAAGAATCGCTTTATGGAAGCCTAAATTTAAAATGTCTCTCCTGATGGAATTCAGGTTATTCAGCAATTAAGATATTTATAGCAAAGCAGGCTAGCACAAGCGCACCCTGCTGAAATCTGGCAATGCAGGGGAGCACGCAATGAACAGCAGTAAGAAATCTGCAGAAAATTTCAGTCGGGGAAGGGTGACTTCAAGGCCTGTTATAATATTATCCTGTGCTATTCTTGCTTGGAAAGGCACATCTTTAAAAGTATGCAATGGATAACAGCAAAACTGTAAAGAACCCTAATCAATTCCAACACACCAACATTTCTAAATGGCACCCTCCTTAAGTTAAGCTTTGCTTTTCACCTCGGGGCGATTCTATTGCCATGACTGTAGGCCCCCAAACCCAGAGGCTTATAGGCGCCCCATGAGGAGCAGGAAGAGTGAAGAATTTCCACCAGGAGCATCTTGGAGGGGAACAGGGAATGCTGGGGCAACCTCATATACTGGCTACTTAAGTCCCCTCCAAGCCCAAAACACAGCTTTTACCCCTCTTGAAGCTGCTTTCCAATCTCAGCCAACGGCCAGCATTGTTCTTTCCTGGCTGCTTTCTGAAATCAAAATCAAAGCCATGCGCTACTCAACATGGGTTTAGTGAAGAATGTACCACTTTGCCACTTCAAAATATTCATCATAAATTAGTTTGTATTCTCCAAGTCTTTTTGCTTTTCTGCCCTTCTGATTAATTATAACATTCTTAATCACTTGGGGTTTGGATTTGTGAGCCATTATTCTTGTGAATTTGCCCCGTACGGAAGTATGTTCTGTAATGCTTCATTAATCCCTCTGTAATGGCAAGCGTGTGAGATGCAATCGACCTCTATTTAGGCCCACAAGTCTCTGGCACTGAGGAACTGCAAGAAATACCCCACATATGTTATGCAGTTAAACTGGCTTTTCTTGACTTGCCTTGAAACTGACAAGGCAGGTTTTTTAAACAAGTGTCCTGCTCATAGCATAGAACTGGAAGGACTCTTTGGTGGCTGCAAACATGTACAGAAAAGTACACTCTCCAAAGGGAAGGTCAGGAGCCATCAGTTTGCCTGGCACACCAAGCGGCCGAGCACCAGATGCCGCAGGAGCTACGAACTGTTCTGCCTTTGCTTCTTAGAACTATCCCGTTGACAAACAGTGCTTTGTTTGATTCTTTAAAAAGTTCCAGTTTTCCATTCACCAAACCCCTGAACATTTTACCAGATCATGATGAAACCTGGGTGTATGTGGAACAGAAGTGCAGAGCATGGTCGAGGCCCCGGAAAACAAAAATAACATCTTATTATCCCTGGCCTTTCGAAACAATTTGTAGCTGCTGCATTTTAAAATAGCCTTTTCCCATGTTTTTGCTGTGTGAATCTTTTTTCCTTTTAAAATTATTCTTCTTTTTCAAGTTCAGGTTTATTTGGTTTAATAGCCCATGGGCCATATACCTTAATTTAAGAATTTAAAAACACATTATGACAAAAATTTACCATGTCTATAATATACGTAGTTAATACAGTTTGTACAAAAACTGCTCAGCCATTTCTTTAAAAAAATTCTATCTTACCTATTCATATTTTGGGCAATAAAAGAACACATAAAAAGTGCCTCAAGCTCCGACAAGGGGTAGTTACAATAGGGTTACTGTAAATTATTTAAATTATTATTGCTGTTTATATAACTTGCTTTAATCATTGGTTTTATACTACTTGTTCAACAATAAAATGACTAATGAATGAATACTAGGGACAAAATTAGCTAAGAAGGTGGAGTTTTTCTTTTTTAAAGCTTCTAGTCCTTAGGGTTACAAAGGTATGTCTGCAAGTGTGGGAAATGCATACTGAAACCTCAGGAGGACTTTCTGAATAGGATTGTGCATGTTTGGGGATGAATATGAAGATGCTGCTTGGTTGTAACAGTGGTGTGGTGTTTGGCAGCAAATCACGGGCTAATGAAGAATAATCCATGGGTTAACTAGGAGTTCTTTAACTCACCAGCAACCCCAGTGCCTCCGTTCAGGCACTGTGCAAATCACCCTCCAATGCAGAGCATGATGCTGTAATCACAATTTTCTGCCAGATGTTATCTTGTTTTGCGGCTCATCAGACCTCTCAGTTTGACCATTTTACTTCAAGGGGATTTTAGAAGGAAAAGGTAGGAGATCCACAACCCACACTCATGACTCTCCACTGTATACTCATGCCTAAATCACCGATGAAGCATATAAACGGAGGCTGTTCATGAAACCAAACTCAGACTCATGAGAGCCACCATGCAGATGTTCTTTTTCTTTGCTCAGGATGAGGGCCCTGCTCTTGGAAGCAACTTGTGGTAGTTTCTCCACCTTTCTCTTATCTTCTGTGAGTCTGATGTGCATCTTTTTTTTTTTTTTTAGGAATGCTAACACAAACCTTTAATAAACTTTTTCATTTTAATATGATGTGAGCCGCCCCGAGGCTTCGGCGAATGGGGCGGCATAAAAATGTTTTAATAAATAAATAAATAAATAAATAATATGTGCTATTTTTGCACCTGGATAGTGCTAGGTAATCGGCTGGTTTGTTCATGCTTTAAATGAGCTGCAACTGAGTTTATGATGGTAAAGCAGAATCATTCCAACAACAGCATTTGTCTGCCTTTGTTTTACTTGCAGCACACGTCTAGCAGCACATGCTTTATATTAATAAATTGACTTTAAGTATTAGGGCACTCCACTGGCCTGCAGAGATGAGCCAGGTCTTCTGCAGAGAGCGTATGTGTACAGAGCTTATAAGAAATGCCTTGTCAGAGCTCGTCTTCAGGAAGGAATGGGCTGGTACATCCTGGCCCTAAGAAAGACCCTGTACCACCCTCGATGGCCCACTGTGACGACTTTGCCCAGCACTTTAAGGAGAAAATCGCTCAGATTCATCATGAGCTGGACTCCACTAGTGACTCAGATCCTCTAGGGGAGGTGCCAATGATTCCGTCCGGCCAGATATTATTGGATGAATTTCAGTTATAGCGGCCTGATGATGTGGACAAGGTGCTTGGACAAGTGCGTCCCACCACCTGTTTACTTGACCCTTGCCTGTCGTGGCTGCTGACCAAAGCCGAACACGGGATTGGTGCCTGGATCCTGAAGGTCATTAACGCCTCTCTGAGGGACGGCCGGGTGCCTGCTCCTCTAAAGGAGGCGGTAGTCAGGCCAGTCCTAAAGAAGGCGTCTTTGGATCCAGAGAAGGCGGTCAATAATAGACCGGTGGCCAACATCCCGTTTTTGGCAAAGTGTTGGAACGGGTGGTGGCAGGACAACTCCAAGCACTCTTGAATGAGACTGACTATCTGGACCCATTTCAGTCCGGCTTCAGACCGGGGTATGGTACTGAATCTGCCTTGGTCGCCCTGTACAATGCCCTGTGCAGGGAGAGAGACCTCCTGGACCTCTCAGCGGCTTTCGATACCAACGACCATGGTATCCTTCTGGACAGGCTGGCGGGACTGGAAGTAGGAGGCATTGCTTGGCAGTGGTTCCGCTCCTACCTCAACGGCCGATTCCAGAAGGTGGTGCTGGGGGACTCTGGCTCTGCGCTATGGCAGCTATGCCCTGGAGTACCGCAGGCCTTTACCCCCAGGCATTCCATGACATTTATTATTGGTGGGGGTGGGTGGGGGGGAGGAATTAAGTTGGTTCAGTTGCATTTAAAGTGCTTCAGTGGCTCAAATTATTGTAAGTACCACTTCAAATGAACATTGGAATTTTATGCTGTTTCTGTAGTATTTGCATGCAGGGGTTCTGTTTGTGAATTGTTGTGAACCACACAAAGAATTTCAACTGTTGAGCAATGTTGAAATGAAATAAATAAGACTGCAGATAGATGAGGCCATGAATGAAGGGGGGTTGGAGCACCCCCAGGCTGCCATGTATTTGGCATTGTCTGGTCATGTGAATGGGGCTCTTGGGTCACAACATAAATGCATTTTCATTTTGTCTACAGAATTTATTAAGTATAGAGGTTTAATGAGAAGCACCAGAGGGTTTTAGTTCAAGAATAAGTTTTAAAAGCCCTGGAGAGAATGCATGGACAGAACAATATAACCAGCAACGACTTCAGAATTCTGCAATGAGCTGGGAAGAAATTTTATAGAGATTCACCCTCTCTATAAAATTCCTAACACAGGAGTCATAGAAAGTAGGTCAAGATCCACGGGTAGATCTCGGAGGTGCTGCAGCAGGGTATAGGACCGTGAGGTGTGCGAGAACTATAAATCAAAAAACCTTATGCCCCACCTGCAAAAGCACTTAGGGGAAAACCGGGAATAGATTTGGGTCTGAAAGAAGCTGAGAGTGAGGCTCTGCAGTGGATTACAAACTCCTGGGCAGAATGCCTCAGCTGCTGTTTTGCTCTCAGTCCCTGCTGCTGGGATGCAAATTCCTAGTCAAAAGCAAAGCCGATCGGGCAAGCTTGATATCTGATGTAGGGTGGGAAAGCTCCCAGAAATATTTCCAGTGCTTTAGTTTTCCTCAGAAAATACTGCATTTTGTAAATCCAGAAGCAACAATGAATGGACACCAATATCCTGCCCAGTCCTTTCAGTTACTAAAATTGATTCCTGTGTCAAAAGCTTTAAGAACTTTGGGGGGAAGGAGGGAGTAGTTCCCTTAAATTTAAGCAATGCAAAAGTACACACTTGAACTCCCCCCACTTTTCCCCCCTGCATATTGTAACTGTGAAAGCCCATTAAATGTGCTTTACTTTTTCCCCTTTAACATCTCAGGTCGAGGACTCATGGAGCATTTAGACAACAATTTAACAGGGGTACTTTTCTTCAGCTTTCTTGTCTACCAAATGTAAGTAAAATGAACACAGCGAATTCACTCTCCGAGCAGCGCAGCCCTAGATTCCTCCCTCTACCTTTGAGAAGCTTTACCTGCTCCCTAATTCTTTTCCCATCGATGCTTCTGGGACACACGTGGGCCAGAGAGTTGCAGTGTACCCATTTTGTGATGGTACCCAGGCCAAGCAATGGCCCGGTGCACCCGAGGTTTCAAGAAGGTTGCTGATGCCTGCTTCAGGGAAAACATGCCAATACCTGGGATTTTACAAGGGATAATTGCCCCTGTTGTCCCTACGTGACAAACATTCCTCTGCATATGAACCATAATGAACCCAATGTGCTTAGGAAAATTTCTAATTAAAGATTTCCCAGAAAACCCACATTGCTACCTCTGACTTAATGAGACATTGAGCTCTTCCGAGCTATTTTTATGCATCCTTCTTCTACTTACCCGTTTCCTGGACTCTTCAATGGCAGACAACAAAGCATTATCTTTTTCATTTTTTAGGAATCCCTGTTGAAAGAAGAAAGGCAGCTTCCATTAGAAATCGGCTTGACATTTGAATGCAGATCCATTTGGTACTTAATACACTGTTGGCTTAAACTTTGCTTTAAGGCCGGGCAACTTTCTTTGCAATTTGCCAAGCATCCTCCTTCCATTTTGTCTTATCACAGGACTCCAGGATAAAAGTGTACTGGGACAACAACAGTGATAAGTTTGACCACATAGGGAAATAATGACATGACAAGAGCTGGGCACAGCCCGTAAGCACAGAAATGTCAGCAATACTTTTTAAAAAATTTATAAATAAGCATATCCTGCCTTTTTCCTTCCAAGGAACTCAAGGCGACTTACATCATTCCCTTCCTTCTGCTCCCAATATTATCCCCACAACAACAACCCTGCGGCTGAGAGCCTGCGACTGGCCCAAAGTCTCCCAGTGGGCTCCATGGCTGAGCAGGCACTTGAACCCAGGTCCCCTGCATCCCAGACCCAAGCTCTTTACCACTATACTATGTTAGGTCTCATTCAAATCATCTGGGGGGAAAAGGTCAACCAAACTAAATGGCTCAAGTCGGAAACTAGCACTGCTAGGCAACACACAAGTAAAACTCTTTAATTTTCACTCATCATGTATCTGTTAAGTTATTTTGGAAGACTTTAATGCATCTTGAGCCTCTAACCAATTTTCTAGGCAAGGCCTTAATAGCCTGTCATTTATTTAACACATTTTGCTTTCCACTTTATTTATTCACAGGGAACACACCCAAGAAGACAGCCAGCCAGCCAGCCATCAACCTGCAGGATTAAGAAAACCTAACATTTTGTTTGTCTCTTTGTCACATACATCTATTTTATTTCTTTATCCTGGATAAAGGGGCAGGGTCCTCATCCTTTATCCAGGGCAGGAAGCAACTGTCTCAAAAAGACAGCCAGTTTGATGCCATGGCCATTGTCCTAGAATTTAAATGCGAGAAAAATCCAAATTCAAACTCTTGCTTTGGTGTGAAATTCACTCAAGGGGCTAAGCCTCCCTTAATCTGGTATCTCTCCTGCTGTGTTGGCCTACATGGCCAGTGGAAGGAAGCTGGAACTTTTGGTCCAAGACATCTGGAGATGGTTAGGTTGGGAAAGGCTGTACCTGCTTTCCTACCAGACCCCGTACCTTACCTTCCATGCCTCCCAAAGTGAGCCTACACCAGACCTTCTTGTTCCATTGGCCATCTCTAAGCCCAAATTAAATCAGACTCACTGAGTGCTTAATCCACTTGTGAACCTGCATTTGGAAGGAGACTTTGGGAGCAGCCATGAAACACAAGACCCAAGTAAAAGAACTGGGCCCACATGGCAAGGGAAGCCATTAACTCCAAGTCTAAACTACCTCCGGGGACTGCTGTGCAGGAAAAGTCCTAGGCATGCCTGCTGCCCATCATCCTGGAAGGATGGACATCTATGGAGAGGTCCCAAAGCTCCTCAGAGCAGGGATGCAGACAAATCTGGCCCATCTTGAAGTCGCCTATTGGTTCACTGGGGTTCCTCAAATAGCCGTGGTCTTTTCCCCTGGCTTCACCCCTCCCTGACCACACATCGTGTGGGAATCTCCTGACTTTCGTGTATTTCCCCTGTTCTAAAAGGTCAAAATTCTCCCCTAAGGATTAGTTACAATCAGTAAGTTCTTTAAGCTACGATTGATGGTGCTTTTGGCAGTTTCCTCTTTCGCTCCCATTTTCAGGTGGATAGTGGTTTGATATTCCTACCCTACTGTTTTGGGGATTAAGATGAAGGGCTTGCCATGTTGCTTGGACTTCCCGGTCACCCAGATTCAGCAAGTGCACGTAGAATGGTTTGTCAGAATCATGCCAGCTTGCCTGCCTTAAGTCAGGAAAGATTTACATTCCCAAAAAGAATTTTGAAAGTACCCCTCTCCGTGCCTGCACCTGATGTTCGCCAAAAGGTTAGGAAGCTATGAGGAAAAAAATAGGGATGGTAGGACAGTGTGAGGAAGGTCCAAGATGGGAGACGGAAGGGCAGAGAACATCAGAAAATCTGGTGAAGAGAAAATTGAATCCTTAATCATGGAAATTGCACAAAGAACATTGGCTGAGATCTGAGCGGAATCGCAAATGTCTTCATGTCATCTGTCTTCTAAGTCATTATTGTTAAGAGGCTTTGAGCTTGTTGATTAAGCACCCCATAAATTAACACAGGGGTTTTCCATCTTTGTTCTGGGGAATAAGGATGTTGACCTCAACAACAGCTCATGGGCTCCTCCAAGAGGAAAGTCAGGAATGGCGGACAAGCTGCCCTACAAGAATCAGCTGTGCAATAATGCCCATCGTTCTTGAAAGACCTGTTCGTCATCTGGTAACTAACTTCATGAACACCCAGCTGCTTAAATCTAACGTCTTTTTGTAGTCTGTCTCCCCACGTGTGGAATTTGATACTGAATCTCATTGCACAGACTTGTAAGTGCGTCAACATTTTAAAAAGCAAATTCCTCTTTAGCCACAGCTCCTAGATTCAAGGGCAAACATTTTGTTCCTTGCCTAGGTGCCTCTCTCTTCGCCTTTGATCATGTGCTCCCTTTCATAGAATTCTCATGATTCCTCTTTATGTCCCCTCCTTCTTCGCCTTGACTAGAACAGGGAGCGGCAAAGGAAGGATTCTGCAGAAAAATCTCAGCTACTTGGTTCAGAATAAAACATGCAAATGAAGGCTGCAATTTATTTGTAGCAGGGAAACAGGGTTTCCTTGGCACAATAGGTATTCCTGTTCTACTCTTTAGAGTGTCAAGAGAGGACCAATTAATGCTTCACGTGGCAGACATGTCTTCTGGTGCACTGCAGTGAACACAGCAAAGCGGGAAAGGGCGTGCATGGCGCCGAACACTCAGGGACACTTACAAGACACAGCCTAGGGAGAGGCACTTCTCTTGTCAAATCAGTAGTGAGAATGAGCACCTTTTGTTCAAGGTCCCAGATACGCATGAAAGTAGGGCCCCTTTTCCATAACCTGGTGCCCTTCCGGTTAGCTTTAGCCACTGGCGTCAATGGTGTGGTGGGGGAGAAATCCCTGAGATAAATCACATGCATTACTCCTGTTGTGAAGCATGATCCGCTCTTCTCTTTGATCCTCAACTGCCTTTCAGCATTCTATCACTTCTACCTTCCAGCGCTTACAGTGCATTGAACAAACAAAAGGCTGTTTGTCAACTCTAATTTAAAAAAAAAGAAAGATAGCCTCTGAGCATGCATGGTTTCACATTTTACACTCAGGCATGTCACTGTACCATCAAGCCTAGAGTTTACCTCCACTACCCTGGAGCCTTCACCATATGCTATTCTCTACATGATCATCGGGGGGGAAGGAGGGGTGGCTTGCAGGGCCTCGGACTGTGCAAGCTGCAGCAGATTATTTTTATTATATATTTCATTTGTATACTGCCTCATCACTGAAGTTCTCTGGGCAGGCTACAAGAATCCCATCAGGGAATGATGGGAGCTGTAGTGCCAACACATCCAGAGGACACCTGGCTGGCAAAGACCTAAGAAAGAAATGCAGCCCACATAAACTAACGCTGTTTTATCCTCTGGCAAGTTCCACAGGTGTGCAAGGTATGGCTCAGATACCAGATGCAAAGCAGGTGCACCTTTTGCTGCTAAATACACATGAGCAAAAAGCAGGAAAAGAATTGGGCTTCAACTTGCTTATATTTTAAAAGGGAGAAGCAGAAAAAATGTACATGCGTGCACAGTTCAGATCCAATTTAAGATATCGGTCTTTTATATTCCAGTATCAGGCCCAACACTAAAATAATTCACATGGAGCAGCACCAAAATGAAACATTACAGGAGAAAATGGGAGACACCGTAAGGAAAATGGGTTTGCGTACTAAATAATGCTCCATAGCAGAAGCAAGAGAACCTTAGGAAGAAAACCAGAATGGTTGTGAATGATTTAAGTGTCAGGCACTGTTCAATCCTCCACCATTTAAATGCCGTTGAGAGAATTTATACACGCAGGCCACAGAGCAAATGAGCGAGACTGGCGCACAGCACTGAGGCTTGGAGTGGAGGTCACAGATCACCAGCGTGGCCTCAACCGTCGCGCCGACTTGGCTTCGCTCCGACATCGTGCCTGCACAGACCCCAGCACTGGGCAGTTGCCACCTGCCACTTGCGGGTTCCCCCCGGGGCCGTGACACCGCTTTCCAACTCCCTCGGCAAGAGGACGCTGTGCTGTTCTCGCTCAGTGTGTCAGTGCCTTGATGTCAATTCTGCCACACAGCGTCAGCAGAGAGAGACAGCTACTCGCGGCATTACGCTCAACCTCGTCACATTTACACCTCTTAGGATGTGTACAAACAGAACGATGGAAGGACAACATATTAATTATTTGGATTATTGGCCTGTTTTGCTCCCACACGCTTAATGTTCAGAAACAGGGAGACAAGAAAACCTAGGGCTGTCAACAGAATTTGATTGATCAATCATCTGCCTTTTAACCAACAAATTAATTTAAAGTTTAATCGCTGCCCTTATTTAAGTCTCTTTCAGATTCCGTAGGAAGTGGACAATTATTTCATAAGCAAAAGTTATGACTTCTTGTTAGAAAGCAAAACAGTATTTTGTTCTTGCAAGAGCAGAACCAACATATCATCCAACCTCGCATCTCCAGTGGGTTAAAATTTGCTCATGCCAAATGAAATCAATGCCCACCTGCTAACACATGCCATGCAGAATTATGCAGGAGCAAGCAAAATTGAGGGTTCCACTCAAATTAACTCAGGGCGCCATCTGATGACAACGACTGTGAGCCCCCCGATCTTTGCCTTCCCATCCTCCCAAACTGCAGATTGTGCCAGGTGGGCTTCTTTGCCTCCTAGTCAGGGCATTTTGAAGGGGGTGGAGAGGAAGCCGAAGAGACGGTCCAAATATTGGCCTCTCTGGGGTACCCCTCCTCCAGCAGAGGCCTCCCTTTCCCCTCTGCAGGTGCAGTTTTTTCCCATGCCA